TTCTTTCCTTTCCTACCCTTTTCTATCTAATCTACCGATCAATCTATCCATCTATCTATCTGTCTGTCTATCTATCTATCTATCGATCTATCAATCTACCGATCTATCTATCGATCTATCAATCTACCGATCTCTCTATTTATCTATCGATCTATCTATCTATCTATCCATCTATTTATCTACCTTATCTTTTCCTATCTTGTTTTATCTTATCTTATCTTATCTTATCCTATCTATCTATCTATCTATCTATCGATCTATCTTTCTAAATCTAATCTAATCTAACCTAACAATCTAATCTAATCTAATCTGTCTTTCTATCTCCCTTATCTATCGTATCTATTTGTTCTCTCTTATTTCTTCAATATCTTTTCTATATTATGTATCTCCATTATTATACACATCTTATTAATCTTATCTAGTTTATCTATCTAATATTGCTATTATTTCTAATCTATCTAACCTTTCTAATCTATCTAATCTATCTAATCTATCTAATCTTTCAGACTTAATCTATTTATCTACTCTATCGATCCATCTTTCTAATCTATCTCATCTATCTAATCTATCTAATCTATCTATCCTATCTATCCTACCTATCCTATCTATCCTATCTATCCTATCTGTCCTATCTATCATATCTGTCCTATCTATCCTATCCAATCCTATCCTATCCTACCCTACCCTACCCTACCCTATCCTATCCTATCCTATCCTTTCCTTTCCTATCCTATCTATCTATCTATCTAACTAACTAACTATCTATATATCTACCGATCTATCAATCCATCTATTTGTCTATAAATATATGTTTATATATTTGCTTAGTCTGTTTACTTGTGTTTCGATTGATCCATCTATCTATCGATCAATCTATCGATCTTTTTATCGGTCTATCTATTGATCTATCTATCGATCTATCTATTGATCTATCTATCGATCTATCTACCGATCTATCTATCCATCTATCTATGTATGGATCTATCTATCTACCTATCTATCTATCTAATCAATCTAATCTAGTCCAAGCTAAATCTAATCTAATCTAATCTATGGTATTTGATGTATATGCACAAAGATATTACAGTATTGATGCCAAATTGATGCCCACCCCTTTGGCCCACATATTCTCGTCAGGGGATCTTCTCAGCTGCCGTGTTGGGGGCACCCAGTTGAGTCGTTGAACACGCAGACGGTCGAGCTGTGAATCCTGGTTTTCACAAAACCCCGAAAGGACATTAACCTTATAAATCAAACATCAAAAAGGGAATATGAAGCATTAAAAAGTCCATATATTTAAGCAATGTTTCTGGAAAATGTCCAATTGGGATATATGACCATATTTGACATTAATGGTGATGTGGGATACAATGGGATGTAACCCACAATCTATGGGATGAATGAAATTTTAATGTGATCAATTCCTACTGAAACCAGGATTTTTCTATATCTATGTCAGTGTATTTGGATCAACGGTCACTTCAGGTATCGATTTATCGGAGGTACCTACCATATATAAGCCTAAATTTATCTATTTGTTAAGGCTATGTAAGGAGATATGTCACCAAAATCTGGCTTTACATGGTACAGTAGCTCCATTAGTAGGGTCCTGAAATGTTGATTGAATATAATAGGTGGAGGTTTAGTGTGATTGTCCGGAAATTAATAAGTAGGGATTAAACCAACAAACACAGGAATATCTTATTCGGATATACCCTTTGCCAATGTGAATGCATATTGCTATTCATCAATACCTATCAATTCCTATGTATAAATGCATCCATTACTCTCTTGGTCAGTATATTCATCGGGAAAATTATGTTCTGAATCATCAAAATTTGCGGTTGTCCCCTATATTTGCAGACAAAATCCCAAATGGTACCAGTAGATGAAAATGAACAATGCGTACGCCTTTAGCTATAGATTCGGAAACACATAATTAAGTACAAAGTGGGCCCCTCCAGTTATACGTTGATGTGTAAATTCCATTAACTATACTTATAACTATCACAAAGGATAGTTATTGAAGTTATGTTCACCAACTGAGCCATCCGGGCAAGCCACTTTGTAATTGGAGCTTGCAGTGTGCAAAAAAGAGTTGTTGCCATAGGAGTCCATTTTTTTTTATTTTGGTGGATTTGATGCAGAGTTTAGCTGTGGTCTAGTTGCCTTTTTTGAAGATTTACCCTCCGGTAATCAAACGTGGCAATTGAAAAATCCACCATTTATAGGTGATTATCCCATTAAACCTCCATTGATAAGGGAGTTCCCATTGCCACGTTTGATTGCCAGCGGGTATGGAAAATTGAATCATGACCCATGACTGACCATGAGATTTTAGGGTACCCTAGTTTTAGACAAACCCGCATATATAGGTATATTATGGTATATTTATGTTTCCCATTAGTGATTGTTTATTGCACCAACAGATCAACGAATTGGGCAAACGCGCTTGAGAATGCTAAAACAAGGTATGAGTCACCAACTGAGACAGTGGATTCGCCACGATTGAAGTCCAGATGATTCAGTAGTGGAACCCAGATAGGCCTTAGACAAAATCAACATTATTCTCGCAACTTTTTTTTTAAATTGAATCGCATGTGCATGCCTGGAAGGACCCTCGAAGAAGGTAGGGAAGAACAGTTTATATGCCTGAAGATAAAATAGGTTTGTCTGAAATATATGGTATCCCCAATTCCAATATAATCATTTTCCCTATTCAAATGGCCATTCGGGAGGAATACCCTGTGACGGTTGGTGACAAATACTTCCCAACAGCTTACCACCTCCCAAGAGTGTCCTCGATGAGGTGCGGCTCAATGGCCAAGGCCGGGGCTAAAAAGATCACGGAAAAACCATGGGGAAAAGCCTTTCAGAAAATAATCTCCAAAAATGTGGATGTGTATCCCCAAATAGGAGGTGTATCCTCTGGAAATTTGATAGTTTGCGATGGAAAACCATGATGTTTATCATTTGTATCCATATATGTATCATTTTCATGGATGTAGATGTCCATGTCTATGATTGTGTATGTGGACTTTACGGGATGATTTCTCGTGTTATTTCGCGATTGACAGAATTCCATTGCTAAATTTGATGACGGATGATGATGGAATTGTTCATCCTTGATGGTTTCAGATTCCACTTTTGATCATTAATTTTAATCATGTGTGTTCCTATCATGAACAATATTTGCCTTTCTACCATGTTGCACAGGTGTTTTTTCGTGTTTGACAAACGATTGTAGATTAATCATTGTTGCCCCATTTTCACAGAGCAATTATTATAAATATTACCAATGATTATTGCAACCCACAACAGGATACCTATTTACCAACCAATTTGATAAGGTTGGATTCAGAAAGGATTTGAACATTGGAACTGGAACACATGATATTTGAACTTTACGAACTTTTAAACCATCCGCCTCAGACAAATCGTCAGACTTTCCGCAATACCTATAGTTTTCACTACAGTGGCGCCATTAAGATATGGCTGGGTCCGAAGATTTGACGCCCCCATTGATCCATTGTCAATTTTGATCACGGTCGATTTTAAAAAGTACCATAAATAGGGAGGTGTAGCTGAAAAAATCCAGACACCCCCCATCTCAAAAATATGATTGGTGTCATCCAAAATTGTACTTCACTGTATCCCTAACATATCCCCATGATATCTTCATGCTCTCAATTTTTGTGAAACTGGTTATACATCATATCCTATCCATGCCAATGGTACTATATCCATTTGTTTCATGGTTAACTTACCCCCTGTTCTGATTTCATGGTCAGATTAAGTGAGCCAAATCCACCAATTCTTCATTGTGAAACCCACGTTTGTTCATTGATTATGCAGATTCAATCGCCACTTTTTCGAGAGGTTTCCTAAATTGCGGGGGTACCCCAAATCATCCTACATGAGATCATAGTATTGAAACCTCGGGTTTTTTGGTATCCCCCATTTTGGGAAACCTCCCCAAAAAAAATCCCTGAACAGTGTTCGTTGAGGCCCAGCCCCTGCGCCCGAGGTTGGGTCCCGGGTCGTTGTTCGTTCGATGTGGAAAATATATCCGCCATGTGGAGATCATTTTCCTAGGCTAACATCACACGCTGAAAAATTGGTGATCGAAGTAGTTTTTGTAGGATCATCATGGATCATCCCACGTTTTTTGAAAGTGGTTAATAAAATAAATGTTAATAACCCTAATTGCTATAGCGGTTTTCATAACCCATAATAAGCCTAATTACTATCACTCCCCTATTAAAAAAATGAATGAGGTTATCCCATTAATATAATCGGGTTGTAACTATGACTTTTAATCAGATACTAAGTGAGATGATCCTCCAAGTAGGGGGTCCGATTAGGGATTTACTATACCCTAATCCGAACATCCCACGAAGACGGCAACTGAATAGTGGTAATTTGAACGTTTTCTATCATTTTTGTGGGGTTACTAAACTATTGGTTGTTATTGAATGATTTGAGTTGAATGATTTGAGTTGATTGGAAAGAACCATATCCCAACACATGCCCTTCAACGTATGAAACCACGATGGTAACATGGTGGTTTCCATGGGGATACCTCAAGCTCGCTGGATGGTTTATTTCATGGAAAATTCTTTCATAGAATGGATGAGAACTGGGGGTACCCCATTTTTAGGAAACCTCTGGCTGTGTTGTGCCATGTGGATTTTCAGTTCCTGAGTGTATGTAGAGAGATCGAAAGTTCAGGAATACTGCACCAAAATTCATTGCTGTTTTGCCATGCACTTTTTTTTTCGGATTGTCTCACTGTATTTGCTACATTTACCACGTAATGTTCAACATTTGGCAGGGCATCAACTCTTCCCCAACTACTGATAGGACAAACATATGCCCCAAGCAATATCCAATCGACATGTAACTCAGCCATGACCAACATGGGGATGTCATCCGATCCCTCACCTGGAAGTATTCTGCTATAGGGTCCCTCGGTCCAACCAGGCAACCAGCCTTGGCAGGTGACCGTGACCTCTTGGAACATTCTTTGCTCCAAGCTGTGCAACAAAGATGTTTTCCGGCATACCAATCCTAAGGACCGGACGAGTTTCGCCGTTTCACGTGCCGGCGGGTGGTGGGTTGGCCTCTGGTATATGGTAAACTCCACTTTAATAGGTAATCAACATGAATCAACTATAAAACGGGCTAGCGCCCGGGTGCCGCCGACCCCTCCTTCTTTGGGAAACAAGACATGGACAACGCCGAAACAGAGGACGCAGAGCGAAGAGCAAAGAAACGCAAAGATGGAACACACGAGGCCCGGGAAGGGCAGCCAGACTTGCAGGCGAAAGAGAAGGAAGACCCCAAGCCCAGCGACAAGACAACGGTGCCAGCAAAGGAAGGAAAAGCAACGCAGAAAAGAAAGTTGTGCGAATACAAGTGTCCGCACTGTAGGGAATCCGTGACGAGCACGGTGCGTACAGGTCAAGTAGATCATCGCCGCAGATGCGGGAACCGATTTCGCGTGAAGGACGCACGCGTAGTGGACAAAGCTTGAGGATTGCCTGCTGTGTGCGCCGGGACGTGGGACGTGGACGTTGTGGACGTGGGGGACGTGGAGGACATCGGGGGCGTGGGGGACGTCGGGGACGTAGAGGACGTAGGGGACGTTGGGAAGTGGACGTAGGGGACGTAGGGGACGTAGGGGACGTAGGGGACGTAGGGGACGTAGGGGACGTAGGGGACGCAGGGGACGTAGGGGACGTAGGGGACGTAGGGGACGAGGGGACGCAGGGGACGTAGGGACGTAGGGGACGTAGGGGACGTAGGGGACGTGGACGTGGGGAACGGGGACGTTGGGGACGTGGGGGACGTCGGGGACGTGGGGGACATGGGGTCCGTGGTCTTGGGTGTCTGTCGGGGGGCAGGGAGTGCGGATGTTGTGGATGTCTATGCCCCAAACCTGAAAACACACAGCAACAAAAATTATAATTATAGTTCCGGAAAAAAAGGAACTATATTTTTGGGAGCGCCCCACATGCAAAAAAAAAGAGCTTCACAAATTATAGTTCCGGAAAAAAAGGAACTATATTTTGGAGAGGGCCCACAAACCTGGAAAAGCACAGCTTCAAAAATTATAGTTCCGGAAAAAAAGGAACTATATTTTTGGGAGGGCGCTCAAACGTGAAAAAACACAGCTTCAAAAATTACAGTTCCGGAAGAAAAGGAATATTTTTGGGAGGGCCCCCAAACCTGAGAAAACACAGCTTCAAAAATTATAGTTCCGGAAAAAAAGGAACTATATTTTTGGGAGGGCCCTCAAACCTGAAAAAGCACAGCTTCCAAAATTATATTTTCGGAAAAACAGGAACTATATTTTTGGGAGCGTCCTAAACGTGCAAAAAAACAGCTTCAAAAACTATAGTTCCAAAAGACAGGAAAAAGATGAGGAAGGCTCCGAAACATGCAAAAGCGCAGCCCCAAAGATTGTAGTTCCAAAAAAAAGAACATTTTTTTGGGGGGGGGCGGGGGGGGGGGGGGCAAACCTGCAAAAAAAAAGATCCCAAAAATCGGGCTATATTTTTTGGAAGGCTCTGAAACTTTTTAAAAGTGCAGCCCCAAAGATTATAGTATAGCTCCGAGAAATCAGTATATTTGTTGGGAACTATATTTGTTTGAAGTTTGAAGACACAAATTATATTTCCAAGAGAACAGAACTATATTTTTTGACAGCACCTAAACTAGGTGATAACATGGCTCACAGGATTATAGTTCCAAAAAAACAATATTTTTGAGGGCCCCATAACAAATCAAAGTTTATAGCCCTTCACTTGTGGGTCCGGGAGAAAGGACATCTGTGTTTGATTTGTGTGGCAGGCCCAAACCCAAGGGAGAATTCAAAATGATGAACTATACTGGCTGCGCAGGCAGTCACATTGGAGTGCCCGAGGGCCTTTTTGAAAGTATTTTTTCTAGTAGCTTGGGGCATTCACTTGGGCCCGGGAGTTGAACGAATATATACTTATATACCTCCTTTTGAATGTGCTGTGTTATGCCCAAGGAAAGCAAGCCCCATCAAACTTCTACCGCCGAAGAAACAGTTTAAAGTCGTTTCCATGGAAGATATTGCATCGAAAACTCATTAATTTCACTAAAAGATGGCTATATGTTTGGGGCCAAGTTTTCTTTGTTCGGGCATGTGTGCCCTTGTGCCCTTGATTTGGAGTTTGGACATGGAACGGGTCCAGCGTAGTTTTCTGGTTACCACTTCCTTGTTTCTTCCCAATTCGAATTTCCAAATCAAATTTGTTGGCATGCGCTCTGAAAGAAATTGATGAAACTAGTTTTGAAGTCTGTTGGTATCACATCCAGAAACTATCTCCTGTCAAACAATTGGCATAAGCGTTACCGAGGAGTGACCAGCTCACACAATAGCTGTCACAATTTGGGTGTGCTCCTGGGTCGCTGCATGTAACGTATTGGCATCAGGAGGCATGGTAAGGTTTATGTCATACTTTTCTCATCATCATCATCATCATCAACTATCATCCATCATCATCATCATCATCATCACCACCCAAACAAGTTGTAAGGGGACAAGGTTCTTTCTGTCCTGCATTCAGACACAGATACCTCAAAGGAATTGCAACACCAAAAGAATCATGTTTTATACTCATGCCGCAAGTTCTTGAACGCACCGTCACTTTTGGACAGCTGTATGAAATTTGTCCAAATGGAATGTGGGGAGACGCAGATCAAAAATGCGAAAATTGACAAAAACACAACGCCTCACAACATGCACAGCTCGAAAGCCGACTCTGGCCACGCATACATTCCAAATTTTTAAAGCTTTTGAGAAGTCAACTATGCTTTGGTACACGCCACGGCGAGACTACGGTTCGAAAAAGGAAGAAAGTCTATCTGAAGGACGCACAGGAGAAAGGGTCCAGGAAGGGAACAAGATTCTTATTGGGGCCTTCTACAGCGCGCAGACATCATACCAACCGTCCTGTCCGGATCGGTTTGTCCGACCAATTTTGCAAGAGACCACTATTTGCTTGTTTTGGGCATAGCTCCACCTACAGTACCCAGGAAATATAAGGCTTTTTAAACATTTTCTCAGTTTTAAAAAACATGAATTTTTGAAATTTAGCAACGGACGGGACGTGAAGGACGTAGAGAACGTAGAGGACGTGGAGGACGTAGAGGACGTGGCTAACCTATATAGAGGATGTGGCGGACCTATATATAGAGGACGTAGAGGACGCGGAGGAGGTATAGAGGATGGAGGAGGAGACGTCAAGGACATAGAGGAGGTCAAGGACGTAGAGGACGCGGAGGACGTGGAGGACGTGGAGGACGTGGAGGACGTAGAGGACGGGACGTGGAAGACGGAGAGTGGAGGACCCAGGAGGAGACGTCAAGGACGTAGGACGTCAAGGACGTAGCGGACGTCAAGGACAGAGAGGACGGGACGTGAAGGACGTAGAGGCCGTAGAGGACGTAGAGGACGTAGAGGACGTAGAGGACGTAGAGGACGTAGAGGACGGGACGTGGAAGACGGAGAGTGGAGGAGGAGACGTCAAGGACGTAGAGGACGGCAAGGACGCAGCGGACGTCAAGGACATAGAGGATGGGACGTCAAGGACGTAGAGGACGTAGAGGACGTGGAGGACATCAATGTCCAATGTCCTGGCGGATGTCCTGAAGTGCAAGGCTGGCAATTATGCAAAGCTTATGTTTACATGTGCCCATTTTGCAACGGGGAGACTGTAAGCAACACCAGAACGGGGCGAATAGACCATAGGAGCGTTTGCGGCAACCGATTTTATGTGGAGGAGGGCCGTGTCAGCACAGTGGCAAAAGCTTACGTGTACATATGCCCATTTTGCAATGGGGAAACGTCAAGTAACACCAAAACGGGGCAAATAAACCATAGGAGCATATGCGGCAACCAATTTTATGTGAAGGAAGGCCGTGTCAGCACAGTGGCAAAAGCTTACGTGTACATATGCCCATTTTGCAATGGGCAAACGTCAAGTAACACCAAAACGGGGCGAATAAACCATAGGAGCATATGCGGCAACCAATTTTATGTGAAGGAGGGCCGTGTCAGCAGAAAGACGCGGCGCCATGCCCACTCGTGCCCGGTGTGTCAAACTGTTGTGTGGTCATGCCGTTCGTTTGGGCAGATTCACGTCAACCATGACACGCCTGCTGGGAAACCATGCAAGAAAACAAAATGGTTCGTGCCACAACAGAAGCCCCATAAGAGACGGTGAATCACAGGCTCTGGTTTGGGGGGTTTGAGGCCGGGCAAACGGCAGTCTTGAACCCCCTGAAAAACAGATGGCAGGGGCATGAAGTAGCTGTAAGAGTTGTTGCCTTGGAGGCCTGCGGAAGCGTTTGGACGGTTTGAGGCCGGGCAAACGGCAGTCTTGAACGTCCTGAAAAACAGATGGCAGGGACATGTAGCTGTAAGAGTTGTTGCCTTGGAGGCCTGCGGGAGGGTTCGAAGCGTTTGGGGGGTTTGAGGGCGGGCAAACGGCAGTCTTGAACCCCCTGAAAAACAGATGGCAGGGGCATGTAGCTGTAAGAGTTGTTGCCTTGTTGTTGCCTTGGAGGCCTGCGGGAGGGTTGGAAGCGTTTGGGGGGTTTGAGGCCGAGCAAACGGCAGTCTTGAACCCCCTGAAAAACAGATGGCAGGGACATGTAGCTGTAAGAGTTGTTGCCTTGGAGGCCTGCGGGAGCGTTGGAAGCGTTTGGGGGGTTTGAGGGCGGGCAAACGGCAGTCTTGAACCCCCTGAAAAACAGATGGCAGGGGCATGCTGTAAGAGTTGTTGCCTTGGAGGCCTGCGGGAGGGTTGGAAGCGTTTGGGGGGTTTGAAGGCGGGCAAACGGCAGTCTTGAGCCCCCTGAAAAACAGATGGCAGGGGCATGTAGCTGTAAGGGTTAGTTGTTGCCTTGGAGGCCTGCGGAAGCGTTTGGAGGGTTTGAGGCCGGGCAAACGGTAGTCTTGAACGTCCTGAAAAACAGGTGGCAGGGGCATGTAGGTGTAAGAGTTCGGCAGGAGCATGTAGATGGCTGGGCATGTAGCTGACAGAGGTGTTGCCTTGATGGCGTGTGCCTTTGCTTGCGACGGCAGTCTTGAACCCCCTGAAAAACAGATGGCAGGGACATGTAGCTGTAAGAGTTGTTGCCTTGGAGGCCTGCGGGAGCGTTGGAAGCGTTTGGGGGGTTTGAGGGCGGGCAAACGGCAGTTTTGAACCGCCTGAAAAACAGATGGCAGGGGCATGTAGCTGTAAGAGTTGTTGCCTTGGAGGCCTGCGGGAGGGTTAGAAGCGTTTGGGGGGTTTGAGGCCGGGCAAACGGCAGTCTTGAACCCCGTGAAAAACAGATGGCAGGGGCATGTAGCTGTAAGAGTTGTTGCCTTGGAGGCCTGCGGGAGCGTTGGAAGAGTTTGGGGGGTTTGAGGGCGGGCAAACGGCAGTCTTGAACCCCCTGAAAAACAGATGGCAGGGGCATGTAGTAGCTGTAAGAGTTGTTGCCTTGGATGCGTGCGGAAGCGTTTGGAGGGTTTGAGGCCGGGCAAACGTTGCGTGTGCCTTTGCTTGCGACGGCAGTCTTGAACCCCTGAAAAACAGATGGCAGGGACATGTAGCTGTAAGAGTTGTTGCCTTGGAGGCCTGCGGCAGCGTTGGAAGCGTTTGGGTGGTTTGAGGGCGGGCAAACGGCAGTCTTGAACCCCCTGAAAAACAGATGGCAGGGGCATGTAGCTGTAAGAGTTGTTGCCTTGGAGGCCTGCGGGAGGGCTGGAAGCGTTTGGAGGGTTTGAGGCCGGGCAAACGGCAGTTGTGAACGCTGTGCTTGCGACGGCAGTCTTGAACCCCTGAAAAACAGATGGCAGGGACATGTAGCTGTAAGAGTTGTTGCCTTGGAGGCCTGCGGCAGCGTTGGAAGCGTTTGGGTGGTTTGAGGGCGGGCAAACGGCAGTCTTGAACCCCCTGAAAAACAGATGGCAGGGGCATGTAGCTGTAAGAGTTGTTGCCTTGGAGGCCTGCGGGAGGGTTAGAAGCGTTTGGGACGTTTGAGGCCGGGCAAACGGCAGTCTTGAACCCCCTGAAAAACAGATGGCAGGGGCATGTAGCTGTAAGAGTTGTTGCCTTGGAGGCCTGCGGGAGCGTTGGACATGTAGCTGTAAGAGTTGTTGCCTTGGAGGCCTGCGAGAGCGTTGGAAGCGTTTGGAGAGTTTGAGGGCGGGCAAACGGCAGTCTTGAACCCCCTGAAAAACAGATGGCAGGGGCATGTAGCTGTAAGAGTTGTTGCCTTGGAGGCCTGCGAGAGGGTTGGAAGCGTTTGGAGGGTTTGAGGACATGTAGCTGTAAGAGTTGTTGCCTTGGAGGCTGCGAGAGCGTTGGACGCGTTTGGGGGATTTGAGGGCGGGCAAACGGCAGTCTTGAACCCCCTGAAAAACAGATGTAGCTGTAGAGGCCTTGGAGGCCTGCGAGAGGGTTGGAAGCGTTTGGAGGGTTTGGGGACATGTAGCTGTAAGAGTTGTTGCCTTGGAGGCCTGCGGGAGCGTTGGAAGCGTTTGGGGGGTTTGAGGGCGGGCAAACGGCAGTCTTGAACCCCCTGAAAAACAGATGGCAGGGGCATGTAGCTGTAAGAGTTGTTGCCTTGGAGGCCTGCGGGAGTGTTGGAAGCGTTTGGGGGGTTTGAGGGCGGGCAAACGGCAGTCTTGAACCCCCTGAAAAACAGATGGCAGGGGCATGTAGTAGCTGTAAGAGTTGTTGCCTTGGAGGCCTGCGGAAGCGTTTGGAGGGTTTGAGGCCGGGCAAACGGCAGTCTTGAACGTCCTGGGGCATGTAGGTGTAAGAGTTCGGCAGGAGCATGTAGATGTCTGGGGCATGTAGCTGACAGAGGTGTTGCCTTGATGGCGTGCGCCTTTGCTTGCGACCCGAGAGCCAAGTTCCACACCTCCGGTGGTCCCAGGCGCCGACCCTGCCTTGGCAAAGGCCGGGGTCGGCGGATATATACTAACTGGGCCATTTTTCATAGCTATGTTAAATTACCAGAGGGTAATCCCAACGAGTGTTATGGAAGCTAAGAACCCCCTTCCCCAACTTTTTCTTCCTGTGTTCGAGGACGTTGCGGCACCTGGTGCAAGATCCTAAGTAAGTACGCAGTCTGGACAATTTTCATCCCAACTTCAAGCCCTTTCGCCTTTCATGTGTTTTTTCTTAAACGTGGTTAAGTTGTGTGTGTGTGTGAATTTTCCCTTATTTCTGATGGTCAATCTTATCTTAATGGGTAAATCACAATTTTTAATGGGTAAATCCACTGTAAATGGTCCTGTGCGCTGAACTTGACGTGCTGTTGGGTTTGGGTTCCGGTGACGGCGTCGAGACGGTTCCATGGGTAAATCCACCGTTCAACAGCTTTCTATTTGTGAGGTTTGACAACCGTTCGTGACACGACTTGTTGATGCAAAAATCCTGCTAGCAGAGTCTCAGAGATGATTTTTGTTATACCATCTGGTAAACTAACATAACTATGGAAAATCATCATTTTTAATAGGTAAACCATCTATTTCTATGGGCCACGGCTTCCATGGCTATGTTAGTCATAACCAGAGGGTAAGTTGAACTGTTCCCATGAGTTTCCCCACTGACTTTCCCGATTTTGGGGATGGGGATGGCTTGTTGGTGCCGAAGCCGAGTCGGCCAGGACTTGGACAACGAACGTCGTTTCCAGCGTGTCACGGGGTCCCAGAGGTGTGCCAAATGACTTGTTTTTTTTGTCAATAAAGTGATACAAAAAATGAGGGAAATTGGATGATTAAGATGTTTTGTGCATGTTTGTTTATGTCTTTATGGTCACCAATAAGCAAGGCTCCAAGGAATCTAGTGCCCGCACAAGGCGGGATTTACGCATCATCTGATGGGGTTTTCATAATGGAACTGGATTTGTCTCGAAATGATGGATGCGCCCGCTGTTTATGGTCATGGTATGTCATGGTAACACAAGGAAAATCATGAAGCAGGTGATTCTTTCAGGGTTACTCTATTTTTGCACAAGCCCAAGTGATCATGTTCAACTTTCAACAAACGAAAACACAAGGGGGACTTGGAACAACAAATCCACAGAAATCATGGTTATTCATGATCATTCCAGATGATCCCTTTACCAAAATACTGACACCCCACAGAAAGGATTTACACATAGCGGCATGGGATTCAGAACCATCGACATCCATCATCCATCATCCATGACCATTTCATGTCATTTCATCATTAATAACCATATGATTATCCATCGTCCACAATTAATAACCATTAAATTGATAGTTTCATCATAATTAATCACACGCAATAACCACAATGACATATAATTTTCCATAGTTAATTAGTTATCATGATAATGAGTCATTAACACCATTATCATTAATATCCATTGTAATCATTTAATGGTCCATTACCGCCACAATGATATATAATTATCCATATTAGTCCATTTTCATATCATTTCATCATAAGTATTAACCATAATTATCATTAATTCTCCGTATTATTGTTAGTTAATTATCACAATTCTCCATATCATAATTATCATGAAATCATATCCATATCCCATTATTACATGACATTATGATACTGTGGATGGAAGAAATCCTGCACCAGTTGGTACCAGTTGGTAACTATGAGATATTGTAAATCATTGGGATAATCATGGGATAAACGCCCATCTACCAACTGGTGCAGGATTTTGCAACCATCCACAGTATGGTCCATAATTATCATTAATTATGTGGTTGGTGGTTTGGAACATGTTTTATTTTCCATAATATATTGGGATGTCATCCTTCCCATTGACTGACTTTCAGATTTTTCAGAGGGGTAGGGCTCAACCACCAACCAGGTTAACTATCATTTCCTGTGGAAAATCACCATATTTTTCATGGGTAAATCCACTATTTCTATTCACCAATTAATTTATCATCATTAATTCACCATTCATGGGTAAATCCACTATTTTTAATGGGTAAACCACTATTTTTAATGGGTAAATCCACTATTTTTAATGGGTAAATCCACTATTTTTAATGGGTAAATCCACTATTTTTAATGGAAAATCCACTATTTTTAATGGAAAATCATCATGAATTCACCATTCACGGTGGAGCTTTTGCCCGTTTCATCGCCAGGGGTTTTCGCTTCACCGAGGTCCTGGAGAAACTGGAGCAAAAGGTGGAGAACCAGGCCATCTTATGCCTTCAGGAGACCCAAAAGGCGGCTGTTGAGAGATTGCCCAAAGAGAAATATATGGGACATGGATGGTATGATTTTTTGAGGATGACACATGTAAATTCTATAAATGGCTATAACCGTGGGAGTGTGACATTGAACATATTTGAAGGTATGTTGGGATATCCAAATATATTGTTTTTTTTCCTTAACACATAAAACTAACCACTTATTTCACGATTCCCTGCATTGAAAGGTGCCCTTTTGCTGCGTGTGGAGATATTTTCCCTTGAACATTGAAATGTTATGAAATGTTACCCTACAGTAAACCATTGAACATGGTGATTCAATAGAATCAATAGGACTTTATGGTGATTCATAGGGAGATTAACCATTCAACATGTTCATTTGTCATATTTTTCCATGGGATTTAAGGTGGATGATATAACCATCTACCTTTTTAAATGGTGTTTGTCCATAGCTATGTTTAAGTACCAGAGGGTAAAAAAACACCCCCCTGCAACATATGGAAGTGTCCCAGAATGATGGTACTTCAATATCATCCCAATTAGATCAGTTTAGTATTGAAACCTATGGTTTATCATGGTTTATCCCCCATTTTAAGAAACCCCCTTTTTGTGGGAAAGAAGCATTTACTTATGGATAACGTAGCTTTTGAACATGAGTAGGTTGAGTCTCACCATGTCATGGTGATCCCAGCGATCCCCGGTCACGATGGAATTGCCTCAGCTGGCCAGTCCAACTCGCTGGATGGTGGACCTGGTGGGCCATAGCCATATAAATAAATAAAAACATCGGGAAAATAGGTGAAGATAGTTGTTTAAACATCAAAATGTGGGCTAGGCATGGCTAGGCCCTAGGCCAGACTCTCAGACAAGCCAACAAAAAATAATTTGCCCACCAGTGCTTCACAGCCTTTGTAAAGTTTTGTCCGGCAGGAGATTTCACAGGAATGGTGTGGACCTCTCCATGCATTTTTCCAGCAACGTGCCTAGGCTCGTGCGAGAAATATGGCTTTGAGATGGAATTTGGGGTGATACCATCTGGTTATTTAACATAGCCATGGAAAATCACCATTTTTAATAGGTAAAACCATCTATAAATGAGCCATTTTCCATGGCTATGTTATATAACCAGAGGGTACAAGAATTTGACTTGAACATTCATATAAATATATGTTTCTAATTCACTCACTCTATCCGAACATGGGTGAATTTAAGGAACTGAAATCCCGATTTTGCTCAGGCCCAAACTTACCCACAGGCAATTCACCACGCGTGTAGATACACACACCATTCCGGAATTGGAAGAGAAAGTGCATGTTTGCATATTTTTTCTCTCACACCCATCCAATGAACCAACTATCCCCATTCCTGAAAGTAAAATCACAAGACCGTTGACAACACCATGGTTTCAGCTTATATTATGTATATGATATAACAATATATAATAAAGTATACAGTAGATAAGATATATCATATTCAGATTTTCCCTTAAACCAATCCAATCAACCATGCATGGAACGGGATGTGTCTTTGGTGCTTCGTGTTCGCATCGTGAGGTCACTACTATTTTGTGGCGTCCGCTTACGGACAGCAGGGATTATCCCCAGTCCTGGTAGGTTTACCATTGGATTTACCACAGAAAAAGCAACCCAGAACTGGGCAAAAAAGGACATGGTGTAGCGGGGATTAAGCACACTCAAAGACGGGGATCAGGCGCCATTAAGCCATTCAGCCGAGGGATTTCTCGGGGCTTGAAGTGCAATTCCCCGACATTTGGTTGGACACACATCGATGGTGGATTTTTGGTGCCAGATTGAAAAAGATGGTATCGCTATTCAAAAATATGGAACTGCGTCACGTTACAAACAACTAGTTATTTACTGGCTGGTTGGTTTCTGGTTGGTTTCTCACTCGTTCATATGTTCCCAATGACTCATCCAATAAGGATTTCAAAACGCATATGCCCAAGATGAATCAAAATCGAAGGGCATGGATCCAATACAAAACATTAAACATTGATCCAAATATGAAATACCTCCCAAAAAACAACTCCCCAGAAAAATTCCCTGTATGTATAAATGGCTGGCTTTGGGGGTGATATTTTGGGGAAAGGGAAAAAAGCCCTGCAGGTATTTTTTGGAAGAGTTTCGGACAAAAAATATTTAGATGTGTTTGGTACACTAATTAAGGTGATAAACTTATTTAAAATGACAAAGTTTAAAAGGGACAATTATGATCAAACATGGGATTTTAGGTTGTTTTCCATATTTTTTCCTTATCAGGTTCAAACAAATCTAGCGCAGTCGGAAGTTCAAGTCATTTGGACCTGTAGCCCCGCAGAGCCAAGGGGCAAACCCCTCCTGGTCAATGGTTGGGGTCTAGTCATGACAGTCATGACATGTTACAATTCCAGCAAGATTCGTCTGAGACCACATCAGTCAGGACTTGATTTCGAGGATTACATGGGAGTGGCTGTGGCATTCCCACAAAAGTTTGGAGCCCAAAGTTGAGAGGCGGTTTCTGCCATCTTGGCTGGTGAGAGACTGTTTAGCAACTGGGAAATATCCCAGTCTTGACACTATGTAATTATCAGACATGGGGTAAAATCCATTCAACATCATTCAACACAGTTCAACTATATCTCAAGTTCATGGTGGAGGAAGTTTATATTATATAATTATATAATTATATATACAAGTTTCACAGCTAATGCAGCAAACCCAATTGATAAACCATCCCCAGTCAGTAACATCACATTTTGCAGCCCAGTTGCAATCAATGTACCATTTAGGATTTCAGTTACTTGCAATTGCACAGCATACACACCACAAATATATAAAGATATATAAAGTAATCTTGAACTAGATGGAACATAAATATATATATATATGTAATATTTTTTTTCCAGAATATTCCATATTTTAGTGAGAAACTCCACTATATATGTCCATTTTTAGCTCCAGGATGACCCGCCAACCAGCTAACCACAGGCTTTACACACTCTCGGATGCGCTGATTCAATGTGTGGCCGACACCTTACCGTTGGACCACGATGCCAAGGTGCGGCCGGGGCGGCCTTTTTGGGGGGCCTAGGAAGGGGGGTTGAGGCCCCAAACGATAGCGAAGTTGGTGGATAACTAGGTGAAATCTTGGTGAATTCTATGGTTTATGGAAGATTATATATATATAATATATATAATATATAAATATATATAATATAATATATATAATATATATATAATATATAATATATATAATATAATATAATATATATATATATATAATATAATATATATATAATATATAATATAATATATATAATATATATAATATAATATATATAATATATATATAATATAATATATATATATATATAATATTATATATAATATATATATAATATATATAATATAATATATTTAATATATATATATATATCATATAATATATATAATATATATAATAAAATGGGTTACAAAGCAACTTAGACCTTGGGCCATTTGGGGGCACCTTGTAGGATTTGTAATAATTCATTATGTGTGTACTGTACGTATGAGTGTTTCCTATGGGGGTACCCCAAAAACTGGTGGTTTTATATTATTTTATATTGACATCCTAGTAAAATGATGTAAAATGAATGATTTAGGGGTACCCCCATTTTAGGAAACCTCTATAGATTCATCAAGATTTTGCCTAAGGTTAGCCTGCATATAGTGCCTTGCTGACATAGGTTTCTTCAGGCAGACGGTGCATTCTTCAGACAAACAGACAGTGCTTTCAAACTTTCCCGTCAAGCAACTGAAAGATTGGTTCTCCAGAGGGTATGGTTTCGAGATTTTCTTTAAGACATCAGCTGTCAAATCACTTTCACAGTAAATCCGGCAGGTTAGGCAAGCCCAATTGATGGTGATACATGATTCAATTGCCGCTTTTTGAAGCATGATGACAACAATGCGATACACAAAAAAAAACATATAGGATCCCTCGTGTGGTTCAGCCATGGGATGGATGGATGGATTTATGGTAGATATCATCATTGTGGGATGGGGTTTCTACAATTCATCATGGCAAAACGGCCGATGCCACGCAGCCAGTGGATAGTGATCCTGATGACTGTCGATATGGGTTCTGGGAGAATCCAATCGTCGGTTCAATCCCATCATATCAATGAACATCGCTCAGTATCCCAGCTTTTTTTATCCATGTGTAAGTAACATTGTAAGTAATGAAGGAATGGTTCTGTCATATCCGAAGAGAGAATGCTAAACCTTCACCTTTCTGCAATATTGTTTTTTTTTTGGTTGCTATACCTTCAAGTGGTCAATCATCCACAGTCAATCATCCTTTTCCCTATTAAATGGCCATAATTTGGAGGTAAATTGAAGGGTAAATCCTGGGAAAATAATCTCATTGGATTGGTTTAAGGGAAAATCTACAGGAAACCCTATTCTTATGTGAGAACCAGCGCGCTATCTAGTAGGGCACCAACTGGGAGGGCAACCAATAAAAACAATTTAAAACAAATAAAAAAAATAAAAAAAAATCCTTGGAGAGCCCGATTTTTTTTTTTTCGTATTTGTTCTTATTTTTTCTTATTTTTCCACCTTCGCAGGCCCAGCCCAAATAGTCACCTACCAAATAGTGACCTCATCCTCAGAATTGACCTATCCTTTTAAAGTAAATATCGGGCTTTCCTGCAAATTTTCCCTCAAAACAAATCCATTGAAGATCCTCATTGTCAGTCAAACCCATAGATTGAAAAAAATTCAAACTCCGGGAATCGAACATGGCTTGCTGAAAAAAAAAAACATTCAGTTCGATGCTTTCCCAGCAACAAAGCCATGTTCCAATTTGATTGGAATTGATTTTAGCATGATTATCCCATCACTGTCCCATATCGATCATTATTTGGCCCATTAATCAAGATTAATCACCATGAATTACCTTGAATAATCATTCATAGACATTGATCATGCATTAATCATTCATTAATCAATCAGCCATTAATCATTAGTCATTCATTGACCATTCCTTCATTAATCATTAATAATCATTAACAATCATTGATCATTAATGAATCAATTTTTCATGGATCATCAATTATTCACTAACAATCATTGATCATTAGTCATCAATAATCATTAACAATCATCACTAATCATGAATGATCATCAATAATCATGATCATCACCCACTATCCCAATATCCCATTTTCAAGCATCCAATCATAGCCATTTTTCTTAACACAGCAAAAATACATCTCCAGGAGAAACTGAGTGCGGAAAATCCCTTCCGGCGCAGCCGTATGCGTACGGAGCCTCAGGAGGGGAATGGATGGTTTATAGTGGAAAATCCCATTAAAATGGATGATTTAGGGGTACCTCTATTTTAGGAAACCTCCATATATGGGAATGGCTCAAAATTTAAGACATTTAAGTATTTGGGTTCCTGATTTTTACTGATACCCATGTGTATGTGTGTATATATATATATACGTTCATTTATACGGGTAAATTTGATCACGACCTCACTGATAGAAAAGTAGAATCCAACCAAAATAGTGATGCACTGATAGTTATAATGTAGTAAACCCAAAAAAAGACCTTCCCATCAACCATTTGGGTGTCCTTTTTAAATCATCCGGTGGTACACCCATAGCCACTAGTTAACCCCTATTGGGGATGGTGTACTATTGGTTTACCTCATTCTACATAGTAACACCCGAGTTTAGATGCCGAAGAGTGATGGAAAATCTCTTTGTTTCATAGAAGCTATACGGTAGAATATATGCAATTCTCAGGGGAATCCATTGTGGCTTTCTCAGACCATTTTGAAAAAGGGATTGGAGTGTCTCAACGTGTGGTTTTCCGCAGGTCGAAATCGGATGATTTGCCTCAAACTCAGGCTGGATACGGAAATCCATGGGGTTCCCTTGGCAAAAGATCCACGAATTTTGTGGATTTATTGTTAATTTGCCGGAGGATATCATCTAGTCTAGTCTACATATTAATATATATATATATATCATCCATATGTGTATTGAACAGCACATCTACTTGTGGTATTTTCGGCAAGAAACTCGACGCCCACACGAACATTTATGTTGTTTCAAAGTTGAGGCTGATTGCAGAGACTGGGACTGGGGTTGGTGTAGATACCGTGCAACTCTTGCCTCAAAATTGTCGCTATGTTGATTGATGATGTTTGTACGCTTGTAGAATTACAATGGTGTTCATAAATAAAACTGTAGGATTCTTGCCAAACTATGCCAAACTACTCAAAGGTCTTTAAATTTGTGTCACCTCATCTTTGAGCTCGGACTGACACTTTGCAACTTCAGCATTGTCAGTGTGGGTCAAAGAGCAAAAAAAATGCCACGATTCAATAATCTCCAAAATACTGAGAAATAGATTATTTCTTTGCGAGCCCAAAATGAAGATCCACCACATTCTGCTCGGATTTTTGAGGGAGTGTTTCTTACCAGGAATCCCAAATAAAGATGTAAAGAGTTCTTTCCTACAAGCAACACGTCCTCCAGGAAAAATAAATGCACTATACAGCACCCTCAAAGATAAAACAGTAAAATCCAACTAAGTCAACTAACATGATGGCCACAAAAATGCAAAAAACTAACTGTTCTATCTATGACTGGGGTTCGCTTATCCGACAATCGAATTGAATTCTTAAAAATCCCATCCAACTACCATATAGATCCCATCAAACTACCACATAGATCCATAGACGTGATCTAGTGATTCAAATTCTAGTGCTTCGCGGCCCAGCCGCCGCCATGGCTGACGAGCTTCCTCCAGAGAAGACGCAGGAGGAGCTTGAAGAGCGACATGAAAGAGTGGCCGAGCAGAAATGCCTGGTGCTGCGGCTATCACCCTTTGGTTCTTTAGCAGTTTTCCATGCAAAAATCAGCATGTCTAAGGGCTTAATATCTGGACATGGGCCATGTTCATCGATGTTCGCTATGTAAAAACCACCGGAGCGAAGCTTTCGGTGCCTCTATCCAGGTAGTTCATGTGGGTCAAACCATGCCATCAACCACCGGGGAATAGTTTATACAACCTATAAACATGGTGATTGTTTTGGGGGATGGTGCAAATGGCATTGGGTAAAACCCACAGTAGATGTATTGATTGAGTCATGGCTCATGTATTTTTATGTATTTTTCGCAGTCCTCGTGATTTGTTTCTGAAACGCACGCGCAACATCTACTCAAGAACAGACGTAAAAACAAACGCCACATATCATCATCTAGAAATTCGAATGGTTTACCATCAAACGTTGGGAGTTGACAGAGATTGTGGCAAATTTTCCCCACACGAATTGACAACATATTTAGGTTGTTCCCAGAAAATGACTGATTTCACCAACGACAGAAATAGAGATCAGTGACCTTTGAATGTGTCATGTTCCTCAAACCAGAAGCATCATGAAATCGTGCCTCCCCAAAATGGTGGTTTGCTAAAATAGTGGTACCCCCAAATCATCCATTTAGTAGGATTTTCCAGTGTAAACCATCCATTTTGGGGTACCTCCATTTTAGGAAACCTGCAAGTTGAGCTTTGTCGCCGCGGAAGCTGTGGCGCCCAGGAAGTTCAAGAGCTGGAAGAACGCAGCACGCAACATGTGGCGCAGGTCACTGAATCCGCCCCTCGGAGCGTTGACGCAGAGAAAACTGGATGATTCTTTGGGTACCATCCCCCAATCCCCCAGTCATCACCATAAATAGATGGTATAACCATTCCCAAATGGGTGGTTTATGGCATTGTTTTACCCGCATTATAGTTCATGGGTGAAAGTAAACTTAGAACTGGGTAGCCTCACCTTGTATAGATGGATAACACATGATAAAACATGGGATATACTGGTTTAGAAGCCAGTGAAGAATCAGCAATCGCTAATCCCACGGGCCATCTTTGAGCAGGTTTCAGTGGAAACTCATCTTTTCTGGTTGGTGGTTTGGGACATGAATTTTATTTTTCTATATATTGATAATTTCATAATGCCAGCTGACCTTCATATTTTTCAGAGGGGTGGGCTCAACCACCAACCAGTTTTAAATCTGTATTCGGGAGGGTCTATGTTGGGTATCGGCGATGGGATGGTACCCTAGAGGTTTGTGCCTTTGTGCTTTTGGGACTAACAATCTGAAGCAGACCCGGCAAGAAGAGACCATTCCTAAGTGGTCAACATGAATTTCCCGTTGAAACTATGGTTATTTTAACCATTGCAGGCTTTTTGTTGTCCTTTCACCCTGGTACTCTGCTGCTCAAACCAAGAGAAAAGGGTAGAGCTAAATGCTCTTCCCCCCATTGATGGCCCATTGATGTTGAAAATCATAAGGTTTCACCCATCCCGAGGTATAGTCATAACATTCCACATTTGTATTTGCCCCCCGAAATGCATCCATTTGATCATCAACATATTTGACACTTCAGAGTGACTATATAGCCAGGATTATTGCTAAAAGTCTCATGTTTCATATGTTTCATCCTTTTTCATCATTCTTCTTGGTTGATTCCCAAGCATGTTGCCCCAAACTTTGGTCACCAACCTTTGAAGACCTCGGTCGAGGCCGGAAAGGGCAAGAAGGGTAAGCAACTCATTGAGGCTGCGCAACGAGAGGCGGGAATTGCTCAGCAAACGCTATCAAATCCTATGAAATGGTATCGTTTTCATGGGAAAATAATCGAACTAAATGGATATACATGGTGTTTGTTTTTCCTTTGCCATGTTTGATCACCGGGAGCTACTTAGACTGGATCAATATCTAGTGCTATGTTTTCATTGGAACAGCTTGATCCTGTGAGTGCGAGATCTTAAGACAATTGAAAGTTCCACCATGGTTGTGAAACAAACGACAGAGTTCGGTAGTCATGTTTCATATGAAACCATACTAAACCGAATCCAAAATCATTGGTAAACACAATGTTGATCCACACTTATGTTTTGAAATGGTGGATCAAGTTTCACCAATTTCAATGGATTAAGTTGGGGAGTTGGGGATCAGTTTTTCTTCCATCAACCATAACGGGTTTCCTGTCTATCTCTGGGATCAAGTGGGCTTCAAAAAATGGTTCGTGGCGTACTTTTTTCAACATTGCTGACTAAATTGGCCGGTTTCCGACCATGGGGTAGCCCAAGTCATCCGAGTCATATGGAATCCATGGGGTATTGAAACAAGCCATGGATCCATATGATTTTAGGGCCTGCCTGGGATCCTCCATGATGTCCACATTTCCACTGTGGCCGTGATGGCCGTGGAGGTTGAGCAATGGGACTACGACTTACGCGAGAAGCATCGGGAAGAATTGGAGCTGCTGATGGACTCTCTGAATGGCGGCCCCAAGGACGTTGCGACCGAAGATCCGTGGTTGCGACCGGGTGGTACTTGGATGGGCCATGGGATTACCCAACCGGTTAGTAACGGTCTCCCCTATGGTCAAATATTGAATTTCTGTTTTTTTTCCAATAAGATCCCCAAGAGAATTTTATGGCAAATCCAAATCTACTATGAAATGCCCCGTAGTTCTGTGTGGAATATTTAGTGTTTGGGGCATCGGATTAATTGGCTTGTGTTTGCCATGAAATATACCCACTTGGGTCTGTCTGAATCGATGCGACCCATTAAATCGAAGCATTTCCAGGAGCCTTCAACTAGCCGCACTAGTAGATCAAGACAGAATCGCCTGGGTACCCTATCATAGCTGCTTTTCCATGGGTGTTTATTTGACCATTAAATCTGGTAATCATTGGTAATCCCATCTCATGTTTCTAGATTTTTCTGTAATTACCCCCATTTGATGATACCAAATGGGATTACCAATGATTACCATATTTATGTTTCTCATGTTTTCATTTGGGATTTACCATACCCCATTTGTGTCAACGTTGCGGGGGAAGTCATCGAGAAGACTGTGGATACTTGGAGGCCCCTTGGCCAGCTGATTATTTTTTCAATGATCATATAGAATGTGTTGTAGAAATATATTTATATATTATAATTTCATTTATATAATATAACATTTACATATATATATATATATAATTATATATAACATTATATTACATTATATTATAGTATTTTATATTAGTTCATACTATATTACATTACATTATATTTTATTATATTGTATTATATTATATTATATCATATTATATCATGTGTTATGTTATATGTGATTATATATTATACAGGATTGCGCAGCTGGGATGGCGCTACCTTCCCGGCGATTTTCCAGTGCGTGCTGAGGAGAAGCCCGAAGTCAAGGCTGTGGGACTGTGAGATTCTATCAGGTCGATGGTTTATCTAGACATACTGTGGATGGAAGAAATCCTACACCACCTTGGATGGTTCAGACCCTATAAATAATGGGATAAACCATCTATCAACTCAGGATTTCGCAACCATCCACAGTATGTTTAGATGACATTCAAATGTGGCAAGGTCATGTCAGAGAAACGCAGGCTTATCTGGGTCATTTGTGACATATAGAAAATGGGTTTGTTTATAGATGATTGACCTATCTACAGTATATGATATAGAATACCAGAGGGATTTTGGTATCGGGTATCTCTCTTTTTAGGTGACTGAAGAGGATGAAGCCGAAAAAGCGAGAAGAAAAAAGGAGCCCCTTGGCCAAGTCCAACGGTGCCACACATCAGACTGGGGATGGTTCTTCACATGGCACGGAGGGATTTCTCCGGCAGTTCGATGATGACTCCATAGGGAACTAACGATAAACCACAGGTTTACCATGGTTTATCAATCCAGAGTTAACATGAAATGCATGAAACTTGCTTGGATTTGCTTGGTGGTTTCAGAATGTTTCAGAAACCTCTGGTTCTTTGGCCGCCATTTCGAATGAAGATCCCAGTTGACCAACACAAGGGGGGGTGGTTTTTCAACCTTCTGCTATCCCTCAGGAAGGCCCAGAAGAAACGTCAGGCGAAGGCTGACAAGGAGGCGTGGTCCACGTGGTGTTTGACCAGCAACTGGAGATCTCATCAACGATGGGGATGTTCAGTGGAATGATCATGATATGATGGAGGTTTCCATCAATGGGATACCCATATTTCGCTGGATGGCTTACAATTTGGAGAATCCCAAACAAATATTAGGATGATTTGGGGGTATCCCATGGTATCCCCAGTTTAGGAAACCTCCTAATATGGAGTATGGAGTGGCATCCGTCACTCATCAACTCACTATTTGATGTTTCGATGCGTCTGAATATTGAGGAGTTTCACCCCAATATGGCCATCAAATGATGGGGGAAATGATGGACAAACTCGATGGACCCGTGACAGATGAAAACCCGAAATGATTCCTTTGCGAAATAAGTGGGCCAGCCGGAAAGTGACTTAAAGTAAACACCTGTCCTTAGCTACAGATGTAAGTTTCTGCCAACAAGATTGTCAAAGAGTGATCTAAGCAAACATTGGGGTTCTGATCACGTCCAAAAGGGTAAGGGGGATGGGATGAGAGTCAACGCTTATTGTGAAACAAAAAGCCGAAACCAGCTTTCAAGATTACAGATGTAGATGGACAATGAATCAAGAAACATGTATTTTTTTGCAACAAGAATTGAATTTGGAACAACAAACATTGTTGTTTCAGGCTCTAGGATGTTTTGCTGTGATGAGATTGGATACATAAACCACAGGTGGGTATAAAAATACAAACGGATCTAGGCAGCAGACGGAACATGCAAAACAACTAGATGAATGAAGCAACACATTATAAAGGATACAAACAGATATAGACAGCCTCATCAAGAAATCACGTCATCAAGCGTTGGGCCAAACTGGAAGCAGTGATGGAAAATCACCCCATGTATAGAGGTGTTTCCAATGAAACCTCCATTTTTTTCAGGCATTGTCCAAAGGGGGTTCCCTTGATATTGTCCCATTCAAAGCTCCATTGACACCGGGGACACCGCATATCTGGCATATCACAGATATGAGGAATGATGGCTCGAATTATGAGGATTTTTGAAGCTCCAAATTCGCAAGCTTCCACTATGGCAATTGAATGCAATTGATGGTATTGATGTGCGGCGAAGCTGGAGCAAACGTGTCAGATCTTGCATCAACTTCCACATGCAGATCCAAGACTTCCTTTATGGTGGATTCATGGTGGAATTCAATCAAGATATGGTGGTTTTCCAAAATGGTGCTATCCCAAAACCATGGGTTTCAATAGAACAATTGCCTAATGCCAATGGTGATATCATGTGATATCCTTCATTTTAAGAACCCCCCATATACTACAAACATTGCTATTGAAAATACCATTTAGTTCATTTCTTTCGCCAATTATGTTGATTGTGATGTTCCAGTTGGCAAACTGCTAATTTACCAGAGGGTATCAAGATCATATATTATATGTTTCATAATATATCATAATTATGTTCAGAACCATGTGTTTTATAGCACACAAATTCTTTGGTTATAGTTGCAAGGTTCAATATATTATCAAGATATCTTAAGATATTTTAAGACAAACTATAACTAGCTACAACATGTTCTAACTATATCTTGCTTGATTAATTGCTACAATTGATAGCTATAACTAGCTACAACTGTTCATGCAATCTCCTGGTTATAACTATAGCAGTGATGCTTTGCCAAGCCCTGTTGCTTTCCTTCTGGAGGCCCAGCGTGAGGCCGAAAAGGAAAGGGAGAAACTGGAGGCGCGGCCGGAAACTGGAAATGTCGACGGAAAATTCTTGGAACACATGAGGCTTTCCAAAGTCATGGGGGATACCCCATAGCTGGATGGTTTATACCGGAAAATCCCAATGATCAATGTATGATTTAGGGTTTGGGGACCCCCATTTGAGGAAACCTCCACATGGAAACAGGTGTGGGAAAATGGGTGCTTGGTTTCCCCAGGCTGGTCCATCGGCTCGAGACGTGGAGTTGGAACCTTGGCCGGTGGCTTATTTTTTTCATGAAAAATAGGCCCAAATTGTGGTTATTTTTTAATAGGAACCCACGGGTTTTTGTTGACCAAAATGTTAAGCAAAATGTTAAGTGTACTTTTTCTCTTATTTTTTTAGACAAGCAATTTGGTGCGAAAACATCATTTGGGTAGGTGTCAATGGGTGATTTTTTTTTGCAATGATATCAATAATACATCTGGTATATTTTGTGAATTGCCTACTATACCCATGAAAAGCTTACTTTTTGGATAGCTGAATACTCTTTAGATTTAGATTTTAGAGGGTATCAACCATCACCCATGATATTTCGGGTCAAGTTGGGGGCAAATGGTCCAATGCTGGTTAAATCTGGACCGTTTTGGAGTTCAGTGATCAATCCTCAAGACCCTGCGAAGCCTGGGAAAAAAGGGAAAGCGGTGTTCCGAATGCCTTGAGGGATTTGCTTGTCAAATTTTTGCAGGAGTACTTTTTGGTGGGAAAAAAGTATGAATTTCATATATATATATATACTGTATATTCAATATGTGGAATTATGTGGATAATTATGCGGATAAAAGGCGATTGTGAAGACACAAGGCGATTCTGAACATTTTGAGATGAATTTCTGCCTTTTATATAGAAAAGACAGAAAAACATAGCTGGAAGATCCAGGTATGACAAATGTGGAACATCACTAGTAGTAGTTTCAGAAAGTTTCCTTCAGATTTTCAGCATCCGTTCCTTGACGGATCCAGGAAGCGCTGCACGGTGTTCTCTCCGTGCAGAAGCCGCCTCTAAAAGTCTTGGAGATTCCCTCTGATGGAGCCTTGGGTGATCATAGTATGACAATGGGAGATATGACATGCCTGTTTAACACGGGATTTAAATGGAATATTGGAATATCTGGATATCCATTTTAGTGAATTATATAATATGTATATATATATATACATGATTATATAATATCACCGGACAATTTGTTGATTGCATATAAATGGGATATGCTCTCCTTGTGACATCAATGGAATGATGATTTTGGTCAGGGGAATCATTCCCGAATGGCCTTACTTCTGCTAGTGTCAGGTTGGTGAATTGTTATACATCGGCCAGAAGATTGTTGGATATTTAGTGGGATATAAGCAACAATTTCCAAGTTGGTTGCCTGAAAGTGGAGAATTTATCCCTAAGATATTAAGGTATATCTTAGGGTTGGTGATTTATTCTGTACAAGTCAGAACAGCAGTTAGATGAGCAGAGTTAGCCCAATGAAAATGGTGTATTTGGGGAATTACTCTGATTTAGAAGGTATTTATCACTAGGACTATGTCTCAAAATGGAACTGTCTCAAAAGTGTCAACCGCATCACCGTTTTGAAACAAACCCAAAATGCTTTGATGTTAGGCATAAACTGGAGACAACTGAAGTATCAAATAACTCTTTTTGCAAAGAAGAAGGTGAGTGGATGGTGGATAGGTTGTATTTTTCAAATAAAGCGTGATGAAGAACCTGACACTCCAAAGTCCACACCAGAATAGATATTGTATGCTGTGCGGATGTGGAAACCCTGGAGAGAAACACGAATTCTTGTTGTCTTTGAATATGAAGGCTACTATAATAGAAGTGTAGTTCATAGATTGTAGCATGTCAGCTACTGGATGGAAAATGACCTATGCCAAACGGTTCTTCATTGGTTTGGACATCGCACACAACGCACCAAGGTCATTGTTTGTACCGTTCCATCGCGGACCAAGTGCGAAGGGTTCGGCCAGATCTTTGTGACTTGCCATGGGAGGAGATGATCATGTCGCCAAAATTCATGTCCTCATGTTTGGTTTCTGAAGCCCCGAGAATCCAACATGGACCAAAAGTTAAATCTATGAGATAGAACTAGTAAAAAAAAGTAGGTAATACTAGTAATAGATCAATCCAATGCTAAACAAATGAACATTGGACATAGATTTATCCTGGACAGACCTCATTCCAAGTAGATATTATCCAGATTTATCCTGTTAATAATTGAACAATTAATGCTTGTGAAGATTGTTTTCCCGGACATAGCCTCGCTTGCGTTGGGGACCCATACAGAGACCAGGATTCCTAGCGGATCCGTGTTTTCCGCGGGAAGCTTCCCGCAGCGACTCGAGCATCAAGCATCATCTCTATCGAATCCGTGGGGAATATTTTACATCGGGGAATACATACATATAATCATACATATATATATATGGGTGTCCACACCAAGGCTTAATCTTAAGGGCTATATAATATATATATATATACACTTATATATATATACAATATGAATGGAAACTAAAGATGTTGAACATGTTGATCCTTTTTTGGGTTGGGGTTACATGGACCCAGACCATCAATTTGTTAAAACAAAAAGTGACTTTCCCCCCCCCCGTTAGGTGACTATCAGGGTCCTGCCGACGAGATGTACAGGGAGGCTTGGGTCGGTTTTTCAGGACATGTGTATATGACAGTACCATGACCATGTGATAAATGGTAATTTATATATGTTTATGGTCAAAAAATAGAATTAAACCCTAACATTTGGGTTGAAATATGTTGAAATACTACAACTGTGATAAATGGTTGAAATACTATAACTACCATGTGATAAAGGAGCCTTAAAAAATACCCTAGTGAATTGATTGCTATAGGAGATTATACTAGCCGGTTCACTGGGGATTATGATAAGCCATAGTAGGGAAACCGTTTTCAACCAACTAGTATAACTGTGATGGTTTATACCCACATGTGTGTTAAAGGACATAGTGGTTTACTTTGTGTATACCCATGTGATGTATGTAAGTCATTTGCCAATGAATCCCTAACATTTGGGATGGTCGAAATCAACCCAATAGGACTGGTGATTTTGGGGATATTGGGTTCACCATATTCCGTGTACTATTGGGATATTATATCTTCACCAATAATATTATTAGGACTGGTGATTTTAGGGATATTAATCAGTCCTAATAATACTTTTTGTGTACTATCCCAATAGTTATCCCAATAATATCCCTAAAATCACCAGTTGAGTTGATTTCAGTGATTAACTGATTCCGTGTAGTTTTTTTTCTTTGTTTAACTGAACATGGTCAGGAAATGATGGGGTTGATGGTCACCAGGATGGTGGGATGGACAGGCAATGACTCAAACTGCTTGGTGGTGACTGGAACCATGGAATTTTATGACTTTCCAGAAACAGTTGGGAATTTCATCATCCCAACTGACGAACGAATATATGTTTCAGAAGGGGTGGGCTCAACCACCAACCAGCAAATACTGGCTTTGCCTAAAAATTGGGTGCCTCCAAACATCAATTTCACCACTAAAAGTGACAAAATAGAACCGTATCTTCCCAAGTTGCACGCAGATCTTTTGGTAAGTGCAGAGAACCATGGCGTTTCATGCTGCAAATTGGTGGTGAACAAAAAAGAACCATTTGCTTACTAATTGTAAATGCGGATATGTGATAATTACATGAATTGCATATCATGGCATATCTAGATCTAGATCTTAGAATGCGGATAACATGGACAGGAATTGAATTATAAGCATCACAGGACCCAGCAACAATTGTTTCTTTAAAAAACATGTTTTCTTATGTCTTACTACAAAGAAATTGTATATTATGTGTATATGTGATTTGTCAATAGTTTAATACAAAACAGAACACATGTAAATTTTAGCGTGCCCCATGTCACTCATCAATTTTGATCCCCTGGTTTCAAAAACTGGTTCCAAGGAACAATTAATGCAGAACATCCCAATTCTATAATATGTGTCATTGTACAAAAACACATAGTTTCCAGAGTTTATCTTCCCTGGGTAAAGGGGATGTTGGGTAGGTGTCCATGGATCATGTTTTGGCAACATATTAAGTACTGTCCTTTTGGCATGACTCATATTAGGTGTCACTGTTGGTAAATCTACAAAACAATGATGACATATTATCCTATTCCCGTCTGGAGTATAGACTTACTATACCTTCCAGTAAATTTCACATGGAACATATGAAAAAACATGAAAAATCATGGAAACATGCACCATTTCGACATCATTTTCCTAGGTAAAACCACTGGATCCATCTCTACATTCACTTCCCAAATCGCCGCGGTCAGGTGCGTCGCATCTGCGCCAAATCCTTGCGTGGCGACATGGAGAACTACGCGCCCTTCGCGGAGCTCAAGGTGGGAGAATCTCCAGGCTCAATGAGGATTTGGGATGATAAAAGGGGTTGTTTGAACATGGATTTAATCCTGAAATAAAGAACTCCATCATTATTCCCAGCCATAAATAGCCATAAATGGCCATAAATAGCCATAAATGGCGGCTACAGCCCATGTTCATGAAAACTAGAGGTTTTTCTTGGGAAATTGGGATAGATTGGGAGAATGTGGGGTGCAGGGTACCACCCTATGCGGAGGGTTGTCTGGAAATTGGCGAATTGACTCATCAACCATCAAACATATAGATTTACCAATCAAAGACAGGGATGAATTGGATTTTGATTGGGATGAAGAACACATGATATTATCATGGTATCCGTATGTATCCGGCTTTTACGGATGAAACAATGCGTTCGTAGAATTTGAAAGGTACCCCCAAAACCATGCTTTGAAACCTCTTCTTTGAGCATACCAGGTTTTCAACAACACCCAAATGGTGATGTTATAGGGATATCATTTAATTTGATGGGATAAGATTTGTTTCTGTCAACTTTGTTGGCAGATGTTGTTAAATGGTGATTTCAACATCAAAACTAAGGGCATTTAGCGTTAACAGTGACCTGGGTGTGTTTTTGAAAATAGGGATTTACTCCCCCCATCTATTTTCCGGTAATCAAACGTGGCAATTGCAATTGCCCCGGTTGAGTTTGATGATTTTCCCCAGGAAGAAACCTCCATTGAGTTCAGGGATTTTTCAGCTAGCCACGATTACCAGAGGGTATGGCCATTGCAACTTGGGGGGAAATGATACCCTCTGGTAAACTAACAGTTTGCTATTGAAAATGGCCCATTGAGTTCGTTGATTTACCCATTCAACATGGATGTTTACCAGAGGGTAACCATCATGGGATTGTGGAGGCACAATCGATTGTGGGGACCAAGTTCTAGCCAGCTTGACAAAGCTCCGATAGAATTTGTGGAAAGTCGGTCACTTTCCTCGCTTTGCAGTTCGAAAAAATCATGATACGGTGGATGGAAGAGATCCTGCACCACCTTGGATGGTTAAAGCCGTATAAGTAATGGGATAAACCACCTATCAACTAGTGCAGGCTTTCTTCCATCCGTATTTCATGGTAAGTGGGGTTTGAACAAAAATTGACCCAATGACCCACATCCAACGTATCCATGTTTGTTCTAGGCCTCTACCGGATGGGGTTTGCAGCTGAAGCAACCCAGTCGACTTTCCCAGTTTACACCCGTGTTTCTTTTCATCAACTGATTCATGAACCAAGGAAATCCTCAATTAGCTTGCAAAAAGAGGAACACTTATGGTCTTGATATGTCTTGATGAACAAGCGTAATCCAGGTATGACAAATTGCAACAAGTATGAATAGTTTACAAATCGCTTACATCTTAACACCTATGACTTAAGGTATGCATATAACATGATAAAACAAACATCGATTCAGTCACCATTAAAACATCATTAAATCGCCATGAAATCAGCATCATATCCTTTTTTCAATCCCATGAAGTCACCCTGAAATCACCAGGAAATCAGCCTGAAATCACCCTGAAATCACCAGGAAATCACCATGAAATCCCTTCCGAGAACAGGACGGCGGGGACTTCGAGGGCTACTGCCAGCGTGTGGAGTCCTCTGCTGACTGGGGCGGAGAGCTGGAGCTACGAGCGCTGGCCGATGCCATGAAAGCGGGGCCGGTAGGGTAGGGAAGCTTTAGATATGGAAAAAAATATGGATTTTGATGGGTTTAAATGGATTGAAAATGGGTTTCAATATGGAAAAATATGGATTTTGATGGGTTTGGATGGATTGAAAATTGGTTTCAATATGGAAAAATATGGATTTTGATGGGTTTGGATGGATTGAAAATGGGTTTCAATATGGAAAAATATGGATTTTGATGGGTTTGGATGGATTGAAAATGGGTTTCAATATGGAAAAATATGAATTTTGATGGGTTTGTATGGATTGAAAATGGGTTTCAATATGGAAAAATAGAATATAGTTTTTAATGGTTTTAGATGGATTGAAAATGGGTTTCAATATGGAAAAATATGGATTTTGATGGGTTTGGATGGATTGAAAATGGGTTTCAATATGGAAAAATATAGATTTTGATGGGTTTGGATGGATTGAAAATGGGTTTCAATATGGAAAAATATGGATTTTGATGGGTTTAGATGGATTGAAAATGGGTTTCAATATGGAAAAATATGAATTTTGATGGGTTTGGATGGATTGAAAATGGGTTTCAATATGGAAAAATATGGATTTTGATGGGTTTAGATGGATTGAAAATGGGTTTCAATATGGAAAAATATGAATTTTGATGGGTTTGGATGGATTGAAAATGGGTTTCAATATGGAAAAATATGGATTTTGATGGGTTTAGATGGATTGAAAATGGGTTTCAATATGGAAAAATATGAATTTTGATGGGTTTGGATGGATTGAAAATGGGTTTCAATATGGAAAAATATGGATTTTGATGGGTTTAGATGGATTGAAAATGGGTTTCAATATGGAAAAATATGAATTTTGATGGGTTTGGATGGATTGAAAATGGGTTTCAATATGGAAAAATATGGATTTTGATGGGTTTAGATGGATTGAAAATGGGTTTCAATATGGAAAAATATGAATTTTGATGGGTTTGGATGGATTGAAAATGGGTTTCAATATGGAAAAATATGGATTTTGATGGGTTTAGATGGATTGAAAATGGGTTTCAATATGGAAAAACAAATGGAATAGGATTTTGATGGGTTTAGATGGGTTTAGGATGAATTGAAATGGGTTTCAACATGGAATCACCATCATGGATTTTGATGGGTTTAGATGGATTGAAATGGGTTTCACTATGGAAAAATATAGATTTTAATGGGTTTAGATGAATTGAAATGGGTTTCAACATGGAATCACTAATATGGATTTTGATGGGTTTAGATGGATTGAAAATGGGTTTCAACATGGAAACAGATAGATTTTAATGGGCTTAGATGGATTGAAAATGGGTTTCAATATGGAAAATATAGATTTTAATGGGTTTAGATGGATTGAAATGGGTTTCAATATGGACAAACTAATATGGATTTTGATGGGTTTAGATGGATGGAAAATGGGTTTCCATATGGAAACATATAGATTTTAAAGGGTTTAGATGGATTGAAAATGTGTTTCAATATGGAAAAAAATATTTTTTAATGGTTTTAGATGGATTTAAAATGGGTTTCAATATGGAAAAATATAGATTTTAATGGGTTTAGATGGATTGAAATGGGTTTCAATATGTAAAAAACATATTTTACTGGGTTTAGATGGATTTAAAATGGGTTTCAATATGGGAAAAAATAGATTTGAATGGGTTTAGATGGATTGAAATGGGTTTCAATATGGAAAAAATAATATGGATTTTAATGGGTTTAGATGGATTGAACATGGGTTGCAATATGGAAACATATAGATTTTAATGGTTTTAGATGGATTGAAAATGGGTTTCAATATGGAAACATATAGTTTTTAATGGTTTTAGATGGATTGAAAATGGGTTTCAACATGGAAACAGATAGATTTTAATGGGCTTAGATGGATTGAAAATGGGTTTCAATATGGAAAATATAGATTTTAATGGGTTTAGATGGATTGAAATGGGTTTCAATATGGACAAACTAATATGGATTTTGATGGGTTTAGATGGATGGAAAATGGGTTTCCATATGGAAACATATAGATTTTAAAGGGTTTAGATGGATTGAAAATGTGTTTCAATATGGAAAAAAATATTTTTTAATGGTTTTAGATGGATTTAAAATGGGTTTCAATATGGAAAAATATAGATTTTAATGGGTTTAGATGGATTGAAATGGGTTTCAATATGGAAAACATAATATGGATTTTGATGGGTTTAGATGGATTGAAATGGGTTTCAATATGTAAAAAACATATTTTACTGCGTTTAGATGGATTTAAAATGGGTTTCAATATGGAAAAAAAAAATAGATTTTAATGGGTTTAGATGGATTGAAATGGGTTTCAATATGGAAAACATAATATGGATTTTGATGGGTTTAGATGGATTGAAATGGGTTTCAATATGTAAAAAACATATTTTACTGTGTTTAGATGGATTTAAAATGGGTTTCAATATGAAAAACCATATATTGCAATGGGTTTGGATGGATTGCAATGGGTTTGGATGGATTGAAAATGGGTTTCAATATAGAAAAAATATAGATTTTAATTGGTTTAAATGGATTGAAAATGGGTTTCAATATGGAAAACATATGGGTTTAGATGGATTGAAATGGGTTTCAATATGGAATAATATAGATTTTAATGGGTTTAGATGGATTTAAAGTGGGTTTCAATATGGAAAAAAGGGTTTAGATGGATTGAAATGGGTTTCAATATGTAAAAAACATATTTTACTGGGTTTAGATGGATTTAAAATAGGTTTCAATATGGAACAAAATAGATTTTAATGGGTTTAGATGGATTGAAATGGGTTTCAATATGGAAAAAATAATATGGATTTTAATGGGTTTAGATGGATGAACATGGGTTTCAATATGGAAAAATGAAAAAACTAATGTGGATTTTGATGGGTATAGATGGACTCAAATGGGTTTCAATATGTAAAAAAACATATTATACTGGGTTTAGATGGATTTAAAATGGGTTTCAATATGGAAAAAATATAGATTTTAATGGGTTTAGATGGATTGAAATGGGTTTCAATATGGAAAACATAATATGGATTTTGACGGGTTTAGATGGATTGAAATGGGTTTCAATATGTAAAAAACATATTTTCCTGGTTTAGATGGATTTAAAATGGGTTTCACTATGGAAAAAAATAGAATTTAATGGGTTTAGATGGATTGAAATGGGTTTCAATATGGAAAAAATAATATGGATTTTAGTGGGTTTAGATGGATTAAAATGGGTTTCAATATGGGTTTCAATATGGAAAAAACTACTATGGATTTTGATGGGTTTAGATGGATTGAAATGGGTTTCAATATGTAAAAAACATATTTTACTGGGTTTAGATGGATTTAAAATGGGTTTCAATATGGAAAAATATAGATTTTAATGGGTTTAGATGGATTGAAATGGGTTTCAATATGGAAAATATGGGTTTCAATGGGTTTAGATGGATTGAAATTGGTTTCAATATGGAAAAATATGGATTTGAATGGGTTTAGATGGATTGAAATGGGTTTCAATATGTAAAAAACATATTTTACTGGGTTTAGATGGATTGAAATGTGTTTTAATATGGAAAACATAATATGGATTTTAATGGGTTTAGATGGATTTGAGATGGGTTTCAATATGGAAAAATATGGAATTTAATGGGTTTAGATGGATTGAAATGGGTTTCAATATGTAAAAACATGGGTTTAGATGGATTTGAAATGGGTTTCAATATGGAAAACATATGGGTTTTAATGGGTTTAGATGGATTGAAATGGGTGTCAATATGTAAAACATATTTTAATGGGTCTAGATGGACTGAAATGGGTTTCAATATGGGAAAAAAATGGGTTTAGATGGATTGAAATGGATTTCAATATGGAAAACATAATATGGACTTTAATTGGTTTAGATGGATTGAAATCGGTTTCAATATGAAAAAACATATGGATTTTGATGGATGTAGATGGATTTGAAATGGGTTTCAATATATATGGCAAACCTAATATGGATTTTCATGGGGTTAGATGGATTGACATGGGTTTAAATATGGAAAAACTAATAAGGATTTTAATGTTTTTAGATGGATTGAAATGCGTTTCATAATCGAAAAACAATGATTTTCATGGGTTTAGATGGATTGAAATGGGTTTCAATAGGGGAAAACAATGATTTTCATGGGTTTAGATGGATTGAACTGGGTTTCAATAGGGAAAAACAATGATTTTAATGGGTTTAGATGGATTGAACTGGGTTTCAATAGGGAAAAAAATATGGATTTCAATGGGTTTAGATGGATTGAAATGGGTTTTCATATGGAAAACATATGGATTTTAATGGGTTTAGATGGATTTGAGATGGGTTTCAATATGGAAAAATATAGATTTTAATGGGTTTAGATGGATTGAAATGGGTTTTCATATGGAAAACATATGGATTTTAATGGGTTTAGATGAATTTGAAATGGGTTTCAATATGGAAAAATATAGATTTTAATGGGTTTAGATGGATTGAAATCGGTGTCAATATGTAAAACATATTTTAATGGGTCTAGATGGACTGAAATGGGTTTCAATATGGGAAAAAAATGGGTTTAGATGGATTGAAATGGATTTCAATATGGAAAACATAATATGGACTTTAATTGGTTTAGATGGATTGAAATCGGTTTCAATATGAAAAAACATATGGATTTTGATGGATGTAGATGGATTTGAAATGGGTTTCAATATATATGGCAAACCTAATATGGATTTTCATGGGGTTAGATGGATTGACATGGGTTTAAATATGGAAAAACTAATAAGGATTTTAATGTTTTTAGATGGATTGAAATGCGTTTCATAATCGAAAAACAATGATTTTCATGGGTTTATATGGATTGAAATGGGTTTCAATAGGGGAAAACAATGATTTTCATGGGTTTAGATGGATTGAACTGGGTTTCAATAGGGAAAAACAATGATTTTCATGGTTTAGATGGATTGAACTGGGTTTCAATAGGGAAAAAAATGATTTCAATGGGTTTAGATGGATTGAAATGGGTTTTCATATGGAAAACATATGGATTTTAATGGGTTTAGATGGATTGAAATGGGTTTCAATATGGAAAAATATAGATTTTAATGGGTTTAGATGGATTGAAATGGGTTTTCATATGGAAAACATATGGATTTTAATGGGTTTAGATGAATTTGAAATGGGTTTCAATATGGAAAAATATAGATTTTAATGGGTTTAGATGGATTGAAATCGGTTTCAATATGGAAAAACTAATATGGATTTTAATGGGTTTAGATGGATTGAAATGGGTTTCAATATGTAAAAAACATATTTTACTGGGTTTAGATGGATTGAAATCGGTTTCAATATGGAAAAACATAATATGGATTTTCATGGGTTTAGATGGATTGAAATGGGTTTCAATATGTAAAAAACATATTTTACTGGGTTTAGATGGATTTAAAATGGGTTTCAATATGGAAAAAATATCGATTTCAATGGGTTTAGATGGATTGAAATGGGTTTCAATATGGAAACAAATATTGATTTAATGGGTTAAGATGGATTGAAATGGGTTTCAATTGATTTTGTTAATGGATTTCAATGTGGCTTTGACCAACACAACCTTGGGATTTTTGCTTTGAGAGCATCAAAATTGATAAACTGCGTGCGGACAGGGTGTCATTCTACTTAATTTTTACCTATTCAATTCGATCTAGTGACGAGTATCACTAGGTCACTAGGTAGGCAAGGAATGGGTAGCAATTTCTTGTCAAGAAAAAACACACAGTTTCAAGGTACCCTTTGGTATTCAAACGTGGCACTGGCAATGGGAAATCATCTATAATTATATATAGATGGAGGTTTTAATGGTAAAAACATAAATGGGGAATGGTCCATTGCCACTGATACTCATTTATAGATGGGCAATCATCTACTTTTTTTAATGGAGCATATGCGGCATATCCATTCATTTCCCATCATCGCCATAAAGCATCGGAAAACCCCGAAAAATCCTACTCTGGATGGAAGAAATCCTGCACCACCTTGGATGATTGAAACCCTATAAATAGATATAAATAGTGGGATCAACCATCTATCAACTCAGGATTTCTTCCACCCACCGGGAAATAGATGATGGACCGTTGGATGTTGAAGCGTCCATACGGCAGGGCCGGTCTTCCGCTGCTTCTCCAGGTGCGCGTTCAGGTGTTCCAGGCTGGCAGCGATCAGCCGCTGGTGCTGGGGGCTGCTGTGAAGGCAGCACCCTTGCAGGCGGCGGTGGGAGCAGATTTCACTGGAGTTTGGATAGACTATGATGGACTCTAAGATTGGAAGTTGGGTTGAACAAGATTGAAACCCATCGGTTTGATGGGAAAGAACTTGCTTTATTGAAGAACATATTGGGTTATGTCCCAGAACATGCTGCTTTTATTCTTGAAAACGATGATCAACAATATATTCCGTTTTTTTATATATAAATATCTAAGGTTGTCATGTACACCATGGACCATGTCCTTTAAGATTCGAAGGTTCCCCTGGTAGTCTGAGGAAGCAACGGAAGTGGAGGGCGGGTATGGATGGGTATGGGTCAATACCGAGGAAAAAGGGCATGAACATCCATTCATAGAATTGGATGATGGGAAAATTTACAGGAAACCCCTATATTTGATGGTAAAAACCATGGTTTCCTGTAAATTTTCCCTTAAACCAATCCAATGATCCATCTATACCTCCTATGTTGGCGTGAAACCAGGGTATACCACGATTTTGGGCCATGGGTCGTCAGAATTCGGTGGGTGACATCGCCCATTTGCGGTCTGGGCCAGGTGAGCTTCCATCGCACCTCGGCATCAGTGTAGAGTATTTGCGACATTTTTTTTTGTTGTTTGTTTTTTTTTGTATTTGTTGTTGCTCTCTTGTAATTGGGTTTCTCAGGTGTTCCATCGAAGGCCAGAATGTATTCATCAACCACTTCATCAGATAGAGATGGTTGCACTTTGCTTTCTTTTGGAGTTATGCACAATCAGTCTGTTGCCGCAAGCTTCTGCCACAGGTCACTACTATGCTTTGGGGGAACACTACAATTCTGTGGTGCCTGCGTGAGCCGGAGAAAGAGCCAGCGCTTAGCACTGCCCGGATGTCACGGATGTCGACATTGGGCCAATCCACTCGAAGTTCCACTCGTTTGTAGCGCCAATGATTCATGCTGCGCTACATTCCTATGTTGGCTAGATTTTACTTCTATCCCTTAAATATATTGTTTGCATGTTTACCAATTTTACATGGCAACGGATATATGATATATAAGCAACATGCAGATTGTTTGGTATACGGTATATGTACTTATAAAGATAAGTTCCTTTCAAACAATGTGTAAGACCTCCATCTGATCGTTAGAATTTACATCTTACTTGTCCTGGCTTTATCATACGATGCTGGTCTTTGTTCGGCGCTGTTGATGTTATGTTTGGTTATACTTATGTTCCCCATGTTTCCCCAATTCCTTTCCAAGATTGGTAGTACGGTTCGGTGTTCTCCCATGTTATTCGTTTAGTTACAGCTTTGTAACCCTCCTAATTTGTGGTGTTTCGCTCTACTTGTTCTGTTCAACTATACTTACGTGATGATGATTCCCAGTGACTTTCATTGCTCTTGGTTGAAACCCATTAAACACCCATCAAACACTTAGTAATCTTTCAAAGTTAGTCATCTTTCGATCATATCATAATCCCCTTAAACAGTTCTTGTTTGTGCCCTCATCTTTGGCTGCTGAGAAGCCAGAGGCATCAAGCTTCCAACAAAGAGTTCGTCGCAGGGGTCTCCCAGATTCAGCCGTGGCCCGTAGATTTAACAGGGACCAATCGGCTTCCAACAGTCAGAGAATGTATCCAGTTGGGGGTAAGTTTGAGCCAATTCAACATATCATATAATCATAATCCTCTACGCTATAAATTACCAATTGTATAGATGATTGGATGATTTTGATGATTCTAAAAACATTTCTAAACAATCATAATCATCGACACAGTCTGCTGGGAGGCTCTGCTGTTACACTGCGCCACTGCGCCGGGGGATACGCTCCACGGCCGGGGTGTCATATGTGACATTTCAAGGGGTGTAGCGTTTCATAAACCCTTATTTAGGGACGGAGAACATTTTAATATATTAATTCTCCCAGAACTCTCCAAGAACAAAAAAAAGGTTACCCTCTGGTAAACTAACATAGCTATTGAAAATGGCCATTTGTAGTGGATTTACCCATTAAAAATGGTGATTTTCCATAGTTATGTTAGTTTACCAGAGGTTAACCACAGTACAGCAAGTTCTTTGTTGGGATGTCCCCTTCGATTTTCCACCGCTGTTCAGCTGTGAACGACGCTTAAACCGCATTTCCGCGCCAAAGGTGTCCACGTATCACATGCCTTGCGACTACCTCAATATGAAGGCACTGGGCCGGGCCGGGCGGTTATCCGGGTCAAGCGGGATGATGACCATGTTCCATAAAGATGGTGATATTTTGTGCAAAGAATGGAGACTTTGGAGACTTTTCACAGGGACTTATAAAGAACAAAGATACATGTAGTTATATACATAATATGCACATGTAATAATGATATGCTGTATGTATATACTGATCAATTAATAAAGACGTCGCTGGCCGACGTCACGAGAAATTATAGAACTTTGATTGAGGTAACTATTCCAGAAGCACCAAACATTTCACCACTGAGGCTGACTGACCGCACAAAACATGAGAATGCGAAATATAATATATATATATATATATACACGCAATGTATACATATATAATATAATATATAAATGTATAATATAAATATACATAATATGTATCTATCTATACAAAATGTGAGGTCCCATGCAATCCATTCCCTGGACCCACACCCGATGCCCCGCGATCCGGTTCGGCAGTCCAGAGACTGAGTCATGAGGTTCCGTTGAGGTCACCATTCATCACCATTCATGGAATTGGATGATGGGAAACTTTACAGGAAAACCATGGAAAACCCTATATTTGATGGTAAATTTACCTACTGGTTTCCGGTTAAGATTTTCCCTTCAAGCAATCCATTGAACCATCCAATCCCTCGGGTTTCACCCCTTCATTTACCATTCAACCCCTCTGGGAGCGTGGCAGGTGATGGTGATCCATGCCTCCCTATGCGGAGCCTGCGCCTTCATGCCCCGCGGTTCAGATATCATGAGACCTTTCCCCAAGAGTCTTTGAACCCTAGAAACTCTGATTTGGTTTATGAGGATTTATATGGATTTACTCCCATTTTATGAGGATTTATTTCATGGATTTATATATGGAAACGCATTTTATTGGATTTATATGGATTTATGGGTTGTTGGGGATTGCTACTTAGAGTGCCTTCATGATGTGACATCCATAGGGTGCCATGTGGGGTCGTTTCAACTTGAGGCTGCTTCACGGTGTTTTTCATAGGTCATGGCCCAGAGGGATCAGCTTCTTTCCAGTCGTCCCCAACAAGATTGACATTGACAAAGTGTTTCCAGGATGTGTTTTCCAACTATTGGACACCTGAAATTTCGAGGGGGACACCAGGACAAACTCTATAGATTGACATTGACAAAATCTGTCCAGGATGTTTTCCATAGAATTTCCAGGTGTCCAACTATTCATGCGGGGTTGCAAAAAAGGTGAAACCAGAGAACGGCTGAGCCCACCATCGCTTGCAGGTTTGCAGGAGATTTGCCCCTTATCCTTGCTGGGGATTTCAACTTCAGGTGGGACATGATGTGTGGAAAACATTGCTTTGTGAGGGTGCCAACATAGCTACCTCCAAATCCATTGGTCTGACGCTCTTGGTCTGAATCCCCCATGTCCTACACGTATCACATACTTGTTAACGGGTACAGTATGAGTCAGTATTTGATGGTCTTTATATAACACAGATGGACTGGTGATTCTTACGATAATCATCTCATTTTAGTGATTTTGGTGTACAAGACAATTTTGACCCATGTCTTGTTCCTAGAACTGACCAGCATTGACTAAGAATCAAGGTGACGGCGAAAGTGCATTTTTTGGAATGACAAAGGGTCACGGTCTTGAACACTTCTCAATGGAACAACACACATACTGTAACTATTATTCAGGATTGGCTGAAAGTGACTAGCCCCAACAATAGTCATACAGCAGTTTATGAAGCACAAAGAAATAGGGTGTCTCGCTACATATCAGCACAAAGTGTGACCAAATCGGTGTATTCTGAATTCTTTGTAGAATTGAGTAGCTTGGATCAACTTGGTGCTACATTCGCTGTTTTTTTTTTCTGTAAACATGTTGCTTTCAATGGTGAAAACTACCAGTTCGCAGACTGTAAACTGATTACCAGAGGGTCATCCCATCAATTCCACGAATTTGCTAATATATAAATATATAATATATATATATATGTTATGTTATATAATGTTAATGTTGGCTAATGTTACTATTTCCATTGAATCCCATGATATAAAATCACCTTCGACGCTTAAAATCTCTGCCCTGACTAGAGCGGGGTCATGGTTCGTACTCACCTCAACTTGTGAGGTAAAGAATTTCAGAACACAAACCAATGTTTGTCATTATATCATTATTTACTGACATAGTTCAGCAAGGACTATATACAGTATATATATATATATGTTACATAATAAGATATAACACACACACATATATATTATATAACATATAACATATTTATTTATTTATTTATTTATATATATATATATGTAATAATATGTAGATGATACACCATAAATCCCAGTGCAATGGATAGACGTAAGGAACTTTTTTTTTACAGGAAACTTGTGCATCTAAAGATTTGCCGCCTTGGGAAGCATCTTCAGCGGTGGAGAACGTGTTGCTGAAGACATCGGACAACCTGTCAAGTTGAACGGATCTCAACCAATGAATATGGTGATCTAATGATCTAATTGTATCTAATTGTGTTTTTTGTTTGTGATGGATATGATTGGATTGGTTACACAATGTTACACAGCATGTGTCATATTCTTGCTGCGAAGGCAAAAAACGTAATGTATACCCTCTGGTAAACTAACATAACTATGGAACATCACCATTTTCAATGGGAAAATCCACTATAAATGGCAATTTTCAATAGCTATTTTGACATAACCAGAGGGTAATTTCGCCATGACCGGATGATGGGGTCACTGCAGACCTGGATCCGCCCCCTACGAGCTGTTGACCACCGGCAAGCTGCAGGAGGTTCAGATGTTCAGGGCTTTGATCCACCGAAATCGATCCACAATTTCTTTCTTGGAAAAAGATGGAAAAAGATGGATCCTGATTGGAAAGTTAACTTGTTTTACATGGGCCATGGGTGTGTTTTTTTTTTTGACTCGTCCTGTTGTTCGTGGCAAGTTTTTGATCCAAATTTTCATGTGTGTAATATTCTGTACTCCCATCCCCCAGGGGTGATGCCTGGATGGATATCATCTCAGGAGAGTGCAAGTGGTGTATTCAAGAAACCATGGTGGGCAAGTAGCCTTTCTGATTATCCTTAGCAAGATACCTGCGGGAAAAAACTGTTGGGTCAAGCGTGGTTGGATATGTTAATCCTTCATTGTTCTTGCGATAATATATTATATTATATTATACTAGACCTTTGAGTGCATATAGGACTTATATCATAATGTGTATTCCATGTTTGGATCTTGGGGTCAATACTAAGCAGATAACAAAAATGATAAAGATAACACCATGAAATATGTGGCCATGATTTCCAAAGTTGGCCATGGCCAGGAGAATGAGAATCACCCAGGAAGCCTTCAGGCGACGGCGAAGGGATGGTGCGCGATTTGATTTGGGGATGCAGTTATGCTAAGTGGTGAGAAATAATGAGAAATACCCCATAATTATAGGGATTTATATCCATTTATATCCCATAAATATAGGGATTATTATAGGGATTATTATAGGGATTATTATAGGGATTATATCCCAACTTCTGGCACTATAGTTACCATAGTTATAGCCAGCAAAAAGCCCCAAGTGCACCCCGTTACGGTAACTACTACTGTAGGATCTGCAAGCATTTTTGAGTTAGGAGATGTGAATCCTGCAGGATTGCGTCTCGATGATTGGTTCAAAATCCTTTTAGAACACCAGTAATTACACTATCCCAATCTATCCCAGGATTTTTTTTTGCTGGGTGCCTCTGATTTTGATTCATAGTGACTCTACAAAGGCTTCAAAGGAGAGAGGAGCTGAACATAAGTATTGGCGCAAGGATTAAAAGAGGTGAACATGTTTGCTCTCGGAAAAGCATTCTGGCCGTTTCGACATGATTTTTGGCTCCTGAGTATTGTACCTGGCCTTGTGTTTCTGAGCACACACTAGACCAGGGGCAGTTTTCCCTCACAGCGACTCCCTAAGGGATCCCTTAAAGCAACATCTTGCTAGAACATAACTGGTTGGTGGTGTGGAACCATGGAATTTTATGACTTTCCATTCAGTTGGGAATTTCATACTCCCATTTGACGAACTCATATTTTTCAGCAGCATCAAATGAGATAGAGAAGTAAATCACATCCCCATTTGAATCCCTAAATCCCATGAAATCCCCATTGAATCCCATGATACAACCCCCCCATCAAATCTTAAGATGCTAAAAGTTTCCTAAAAGCAAAAGTCTACTAGAATTGTGGTATGTGAATTAAGAACCTGTTCCATATTTCTTCATACGTTTTCCATCCCTCTAGGGTTATACATGGGGACATTCCAACAGCCCGATCGCCAGGGGTGGCACCTTTGGCCACAGGGATGTCATTTGAGGATGGGGGGGGGGCAGGTCGTGTCGAAGAATGCAGGGGTTCCCACGTGAGAATTCCATGGTGGAGTTTCAATATATAATTGTTGTTCATTGAATGTCCTGGTAATAATTGTTATAACTTATAACTACATGAGCAATGTTCTTAAAAGCCCTGGTTCATGTCTAGTTCGGGGATTATGCTAAAAAAAAGGGAATATCACCCCTTCCCAGAATGGGGAATCCTGTTCTCAACTAAGCAAGTGGATCCAACCAGTCACACCGGGTTCCGGTATTGGGAGCAGAGGATAGTCTGGGGTTTGTCCCTCCCCTTGATAGAGAACTTGATGATCTCACAGTCTCACATCTGATGGAAATAGGTCCTAAACAATCAAAATAGTAGTCCAAATTGGCCTACATGGCCTACATTGGGTAATTTACAGTCTTTCTATATATAATCCTAATGTTTGGAGATCAATATATGACATAGACCGTAACTCATATAACCTAAGTTTTTTAATCACTGAGATGTTTGCGTGTCTACACTCATAGGATTGCACGCTTTTGTCGTAGTGTCCCCCAACGTGAATTTGGGGCCTATCGGTCTTATGATTATGTGCCTAAACTGGCTCTATAAGCAACAAGACAGTCATGCTGACTCATGTTGTATCCGGACTTGCAAAATACCGTCATGGGATAGTCACTGATCAAATTGATTAAGAATGCTACCACTTCTTGTCTCTAACCTATTAGCTGAGATAGGCCCTATTTTTACCGTGCTGCACAGTGCTCAAATGTGGTCATGAATGGGAATATGATATACCAACCAGCCATACTGCTACCAACCATATGATCATATGATTGTTATGGGTAATTGCCTAGAAATTGAGTTTTATAGTTGGGAAAATCAATCAATAGACAACTAAAATAGCAGGTGTTCGCCTCGTTTGATGACCGGGTAAACCCAACATAATTGTCCATTATATCCCATTACCCTCTGTTAAATTAACATAGCTATGGAAAATGGCCCAGTTAGTTCGTTGATTTACCGATGAAAAGATTGTGTGTTTCCAGTTCGCAAACTGTAAGTTTACCAGAGGGTATCTCCCATTAACTATAGTTATTTCCAGCATAAACCATATAGTTAAGCCACCAATAGTTCCATTATCTCCAATTATAATTAAGTGTATATAATTGTATATACATATCCCCATCATATCACCATTATATCACCACCTTTAAGCGTGTGCTGCCGTTGTTTCAGGAGCGCCTATGCTGAGAAGCACCGACAGGGTGAACCGTCCTTCACCAACTACGCCTGGAACAAGGACGCCATTTGACGGTCGTCCAAGAAGAGTTTCCGCGGGTGGATCCCGTGGGTAGCTTAGCCATTGAAAGGTGGTATAATTACCCTCTGGTAATTTGTTACATAGCTATGTAAAATGGCAATTTATAGTTGGTTTTCCATAGTTATGTTTGTTTACCAGAGGGTAATGGGGATATAATGGGGATATAATGGGGATGAGGATATGGTTGAGATATAAGTGAATTAATTAACTATGGAATGATGGTGGATTTTTGATGGGATATGATGGGGACATGTATATACATATAATTATAATGGGAGATAATGGAACTATAGGTGGCTTAACTATATGGTTATTGGTGGATATAACTATAGTAAATGGAATATACCCTCTGGTAAACTAAGAGTTTGCGAACTGGAAAATCACCATCCTGAATAGGTAAAGCGCCGAACTAAATGGGCCATGTTGAATAGTAAACTGTTAAATTACCAGAGGGTAAGGGAATTTCGGCAATTCACCAAAGGGGGGAAAGTTGAGTTTTTTTTACCAATCATGTTTTTTTTTTGTCAGAGGTACATTTCAATTTGTCGCAAACCATATAAATGTGGGGGAGGTTTTGAAGCGATTTTAAGACAAAGTCTGATTTGGGTTGTTATTAGAAGCTGAAACTGCTGAAACCATACAATTTTCAGGATACCCAATTTTGACTGATACCCAATTCTGGATATGGCTATGGCTCAACATGACTAACCCCCAACATACGGATGGCTTGAGCTGCTAAAGATGGCCAATCCTGTGGATTCCTTGGTAGCCCAATGGCAAGGATAAGCGAAAAACTCAAAGATCTATCCATTATCTATCCCATATGCTCCATGTATGGAATATTTACCAACATTTGGGTGAATTTTAGGGCAAATGTTGGTAAATATTCCATACATGGAGCATCTGGGTATTGGAGTTACAAGTTACCGGGTAATTTATACTCAAATGGATGACCAAAAAAAAACACAACGGCACATCCGTTGAGACCTCTTCAAAAACTGACCCCTTAACCTGGGGATGGGTGTGATCATCATGACAAACACGCGGGGACGTGCAATTATTGATTTGATGTGGTCAGCTTCAGAGTTGAAGCCTTCTCGGCCGCTGCATCAAAACAGAACATTTCCACAGACAACGCAACGAAGCTGTTGGGAAATCTGTCAGCGAAAACGGAAATGACACTCTTGTGCCACGATGTTCTGGCTGGTAAGGGTACACCGTAATGTACCGTAATGCCTCTATCTTTCCACATTCAGCACACCAACAATCATGATAGTCATGGAGGGTAGGCAAATAAGATCTACATGGGGCCATGGGGAGTGAAGAACCATCAGCCTTTGAGTTTCGGCGATGGCGCTGCTTGCAACTTGGGCTGAAGAGTGATGGTCTGGGTATGGCTCAGTTACTGAGGCAGTCGAGCCAGAAAGAGAGCCCATTGTGTTGATGATTCATTGACCAGGTCTGAGATGTCCTTGAAGCTAGGCTAGGTATCAAAATTCAAAGCTACTCCCTCTCATTCTCAGGGTTCAGGAAAACTTTGAGAGGATATCAAAATGAACACTTTCTGCATTTGTTATGAACATAACCGGAATGCACTTTGAACACACCTAAATTAATTTTGAATATAAATTGCCCAGTCTTATCCCATCAATTTGTGTCATGAGTTGTACTCAAAAAGCATCACGACTCTTGGTGTCCACCCTTTTTGTGCTATGGAAAACCACCATCAAAATAACGGCATGCTAAATGCTAAAAAATCACTGAACTAAGTTAGGCCATGGCTTCAGCAAACTCTTCAATACCAGAGGTTCCGAGCTCCGATTTCCCTCTTTTCAGGTCATGAAGTGCGCACTATGACCTCCCCAACATCCCCGTCCAAGCACCTCAAGGTGTCTGGATGAAACATTTTATGGGTTCTGACCTTTGGATTTTGAGACTTTGAGATGGCGATTTAGTTTGTTTTGGAACTCAGATTTTGGATGTTTTGATGATAAAAAGTGTATCAAAAAAATGTGTTTGTTTATCCTGTTTTGGGGCTTCTGGATAAACCTCAAATCATATTTGGGAGAAACCTAAAATCATATTTTAAGGGTTTGTTGTATGTATCTATATATATACACATAATATACACACTCTATATATAATTACATGTTCATATTATCATATTATGTAATTGATAGAGATAGATATAGAGATATACCATTTTGTTCCCATGATATCCATATCAAGATTAGGACATCCATATCAATATCTCCCATGGGAAGCCTAGTGGGAAAAGCCACTCTTCCAGGTGAAGGATCAGATTTGGTGGCATGGTGTGGCACTGGCATGGCTGCAGCAATTCACGGCTGGCGATTTATGGGGCCCATGCGATGACTATGGATGGAATGGGATTTGTGGATGTGAATGAGTTTGAAATATATACCCTCTGGTAAATAAACACAGACCCTGAAAATCAGCATTTTTTAATGGTTTCACTAATCTTCCAACCCCGATGAATGCCAGGGTCTATGTTAATTTACTGGCGGGTATATATATATAGTAATATATATATGATATGATATGATATATAATATTTATATATATATATATTTACATCTCATTCTAATGATATTCTAAAAATACATATTCCCTCTTGCCAATGATGTTTTTGGCGATTTCATATGAATTTTGAATGCTTTTGATCTATCAACATGATCAGCTTTTGGATCTTTTTCTAGCCAGAACTGGGACGACCTCAAAACGCCAGGTGAATATTTCTGAAAAGCTCAAGGTCATCGCCCATGAGCATCCCGTTTCTCGTTTGCGCTGGTGTAACAACCCACCCCGGCTAGACGGCTAGACGGCTAGACCCGATCTTCCAGCTTCAGTTGGTGTTAGTGGCAAAATTGCATCACCTTGGAGAGGTACTAATATCCTTTAGTTTTATGCTACAAATGGAAAATAACAATAACGATCCATAACCATAACGATGCATAGCCAGCAACAGAACTTTTCTTTGCGGACTACCAAAGATTGACCAGTTTGGTGAGGAACTCATAATGCTTCTATGGATCAAACGGTTTGGTGGCATTAAAACATCTTTGATGCATGGTTTAGCCTTCGGTAAATTAACATAGCTATGGACAGTGGCATACTTATAGATGTTTTACCTATTAAAAATTGTGATTTTCCATAGCAAACTGTTAGTTTACTGGCGGGTAGCAATTAATATACAAGACCTGGCAGCCTGGCCCCCAAAATGTTCGGAAACGACTGATGGCCGAGTGCCATTTTTTGTGACTGGGATCCTTACAACATGGATGGATCAAAGACCCATGACAGCATTTTGTGCGGGGGATTTACCCTCTGGTAATTTAACATAGCTATTGAACATGGCCATGTAATAGTTCTTTGATTTACCTATCCAACATGGTGATTTTCCTGTTCGCAAACTGTGAGTCTACCAGAGGGTACATCCATTTTCGATGGATCAGGGTGAGGGGACAAGCTTCAGTCGTCTAGCATCGGTCTCGGTCATTCCAAAAATCTACGTATGTTCGGCTTCCAGGTGACACTTGGAGTGATGCTTGGATACTCCAAGAAGGAATGGTTTATTGTAGAGACTGCAATGATGATAGTTGGTAAATGGATGCAACTCGCCCTGGCCCTGGTAATTCAAGACACGTATGATTTAGTGCAAATGGTGTCCTCTGAAAATCATCGGAAGATCATGATTTTCACAAATGAATTTCAATTGCCATGAATTGGATGCAATAGCATATGTTTTTTTCCGACAGACCCAAAATCCATCATTCACTGAATTTCCAATGTTTGATGAGTAAATCACGGTGAATCCATATTTTTCATGGTGAAAACACAAGTTCTGATGGTCTTCATCAGGTCAAAGCCCCAACTTTTGAGGCTCCCAGCTGTATCACTCTGAGGTCCAACCGTTGGCCAGGTGCGAACTTGGGTCGAACCCCAAAAGATGCCCCAGAGTTTTTTCCAGGATGCAACCGTTGCTAGTCAGATGATGTTCAATTAGATATTTACCAATCATTTAGATTAGTTGGTAAATAGTGTCTTAATTAGATATTTACCAAAACTGATCTCCGTATCATTCCTGCAACTTGTCGATTTGCTTGATCTGCTTTCTTTTGGCTGTTATATATATATTATATATATATATGTTTTGTTTGCCACCAAGACTGATGGTACAATGGATAGATGATGGGTTACCATTTCGTGCTGAAGCACGAACGGAATCTTGGCCATTCACCACCCAGTACCCTCTGGTAAACATACAAAAAACTATGGAAAATCACCATTTTTAATGGGTAAATCATGGTAAATCCACTATAAATCACCATTTTCAATAGCTATTTTGACATAACCAGGCCGGGTATGTTCAGGGATGATACTTCGGGGTCTGAACAATGTTCAAGTATCTTCAAATCTTCAAGCTGGAACATGTTCTCGTTGCATTGATCAGTTACCGTTCAACTACCATATGAGTCAACCTTGAAATTTGAATGTACTAGTACATAGGTTCATGGTATTGAATGGATTTGAATGGTACATTGCATTCAACATTATTTAAACAATCAGGATCTACCAGGTGAATGTCACTTCAACCGGAAAAAATGAATTCCCAGCCCATCAAACATTGATTTTCCACCAGTGGAATGCACAGGCGATTGGCCATATGATTGCGATATCATCAGCTTATTGCACCAGCCAAAAACCAGTTGGAGGCAACATGTATCAACAGGTTATGACTTTGAGCCATATATCCATATATTGTATCATGTGTATTTCGCAGTGACATGAAATACATACCCTTTGCTAAACTAACATGACTATGGAAAATCACCATTTTCAATGGGTAAATCCACTATAAATGGCCATTTTCAATGGCTATTTTGACATAACCAGAGGGTACTTTCCGTTTCGAGTTTCACTCATAACCCTCCAAGTTCTCTGCAGCTGTTGGAGAC